ACGCTTCAGAAAGTCCGGGCACATGCCCATCTGGATGAACAGAAGCCAAAATGATGCGTTTGAGGAACTCTCCCTTGCCGCAACCGATGTCTTTGTGGAGGATCCACGATATGAAACGAAAGTAGCCGAGGCCGTTGAGGCGGATGTGCAACAGATCACTCAACTAACTGACCTTGTGTTGCAAGACACGAAACCCCTTCAATTGGCACGAAAAAAGGGAACCAGCGCGGCCAAAAGCATCGGGGTGGATATTACAAAACGGCGCAAGAAAAGCAAAAAATCGCCGGACCGGGTTCCCCTCCACAAGCCAACCGTACTGCGGGCAGGCAGTCCGGAGACGCGTATCTGACGCAACTCGCCTCTTCTTTCACCTCTTCCCCCAAGAGGGGGAAGAATTTCCCGCGGCGTTCCAGCGGTACCAGTGAACCAGAGAACATTGACGTGGCACCAAACAACTTGACAGGAGCGAAGGACAACGATGTGCCGAAGGCGGTGGCCGCTTTTATTGTGGATGGGCCTGCGAACACGCAATCAGGCACTGGTTCGTGTGGAACACCTTCGCTGCCGGTCTCTAAGCAAAGACGCACACCTTCTCTCAGCCGCCCACCTGGTGTGCAGAGGCTCAGTTCGTCCAGCCTTTCCAAAGTGACTCTCCCGCAGTTCATGGTCAGCGAGGGCAAGAAGCGATGAGCACAACGGCGACGGCGGCAAAACAAGGGGACGCGACGAGTGGGGTGAGGGATTAAAATCTGGGGCGCTCACCACCCCCAATTCACCGCTCCCCGTCGGCTCAGAGGAACAAATAAAAAAGGAAAAAAACAACAAGAAGCGTATGCCGGGAAACACTTTTGATTAATGCAAAAACGAAGAAAAAAACTTTTACGGAAACAAAAATTAGGGATAATCAGAGAAGAAGAGTGATGGAGTAAGAGTATAAAAGTAAAGTAAAACAACAACAAAAACAAAAAGTACATGTCAAGAAAAATGTATCGCATTTCTCATTTAGATACAACTCACTTTGGAGAGGCTGCTGGTGGTGCTGGTGGGGTCCCTGGCGTGTCGGTTTCATTTCATATTTTAGTCCGATCTTTTTTTTTTTTTTTTTTTTTGTATTTCACCGATGCATTTTACAAATTTGAGTTATTCTGCCAGAACACTCCGCCGGGGACGAGGTCAATGATTGAACGTGGGAGTCATGTGCTTTAATCAACAGCAGCAGCAGCAGCGGTACCAGAGAAGAAAACCAGACCTAAGAACGCACGCACAGGGGGGAGTGAAGAGAAGCGAAGAGAAGGAAGTAACTTTCAGACTTCACTGGAAATGTTTTTTTACACGTTTTCATATGCGTCCAAACGGATTTATCATTGTTGTGCTTTATTCTTTTTTTTTTTTTTTTTTTTTTAAATTTTTATTTCTGTTTACCATTTGCTTTTCTTCTCTGAGTAGGTTCTTTATTATTATTATTATTATTGTTATTATTGTTATTTTAGATGTACGTCAACGATAGGTACATGAGTACCTTCTCTGAACCGTATGTTTTTGTTCGTTTTTGTACGGCATTGCGGTAAATTGGGAGATCAAATATAAGGAAATACGTCTATCTATCTATCTTTCTATATATTAATATTATATCTGTATATCTATTTACCTGTATCCATACTTATCCCTGCGTGTGTGTTTTTGTGGCGTTACCTGATTCTTGTGAGTTTTGGATATATATATATATATATATATATATATTTTCTTTTTCTTTTGTTGCATGTACGATGTGCTGCAACAAATTATGGCTTGTGTTTGCCCCATTCCTTTCCCTCTTGCGTCTCATGTGTGCTTTGGCAATTGCCTTCTTGGCAATAATACACACATAGACATATTCTTTTCTTGCCTTCGTTATTATTATTACTAATTTTTTATTTTTATTTTTATTTTTTGACTCCCCACTCCCGTCTTGCGTGTGTGTCGACACATGTGTCTGCATGTGGGCTCTTGTGCCCTGGCGGCGGGGGGCCAAATCGACAACACGGAAAAAAAAAAGAAGGAAAAAACAAAAGCAAAAAGAAGGAGGGCGTTGAACCACACGGAGGCGGAGAGAAGGAAAGGGATTCAAAATGGCTGCGCTTGTGGAGGCGGAGCGGATGGAGAGGGAGAAGGCGCTGGTCGAGGCACAGCAGCGGGTGAATATGTTGAGGGAGACGGTGAGAGTCATGGCAAACCGGCAGGTAACGCTGATGAGCAACAAACGACGACTTGACATCTCCACGAATGAGTTGACACGTCTCGCCGCAGATCACCGCGTGTACGAAAGCGTCGGCCGTGTGTTTTTGCGCACGCCGGTGAACGCATTGATAGAGAAGCAGACGGCGCAGGCTGAGAGCTGCGAGGCGGAGGGAACACGTCTCTCGAACGAGAAAAAACGCGTGACGGAGCAGCTGAAGAAGGAGGAAGCGCAGCTGCGCGAGGCTGCCGAGACGTACGTGGCTGAGATGAACGCAAGACAACGCCAACGCCAGTAGGAGCAGTCTTCAGGAGGACGAGGAGGAAAAAAGGGATAATAAAAAAAGAGGAGGGGAGGGAAAAGCGACGAAGACCCACCTCCCCTTGCAGCGAATACACAAACAAATAAACAGCAACAAAAAGAAGGGCCTCGGCCTACAAAAAAAAAATATTACCGAGTGGCTTTTATTTTTTATTTTTAGCACACGCTCAGAAAATCGTCTTTTTTGTTATTTTATTTTTTTTTTTACTGTTGGTTTTTTATGATTTCTCAAGACTCCCCCGTTATTTCTGTACTTCTGCCCCTTTTGTCATCCTCTGCAGGTTGGGGGGGAGAGGGACCTCGCAGACGCAAGACCACACAAGCGTGTATATAGTTGCCTGCTCAAACACGGGCTAGGAGAAAAAAAAAGGCAAACCCAAAGGGAAAGTGAACACAGCACACAGAGGGAATTAAAAAAAAAAAAAAAAAGAAAGGAGAAAAAATCTAACGAAGAAGTCTTGGATGCTGCACTGCGGTCGTCTGTTTGCCAAGAAACGAGTGCCACCGCTTGGTTACAGCAGCAGAGAATTCTCAAGGAAGTTGCGGTCACCGCGGGCGTCGAAGCCGTGGCGCGACCGTCACGTGGTTTCTGGCGGGCAGATCGAGGTCTCGCCAAGCACCGAAAACAACGTACACGGGGATCTTTCTACGCGGCCACCTCTTGGCATTTGCGACGTGCGGGTTAATTCTGCTGGGGATTTCACTACGGCAGCGCTGCCAGAAGCCAACTATGACACAATGGCCTCCAATAGCATGCTACCAGTCGAACAAGAAGGAGATTCTGGCGTGGCGACGGTGACTTCAACACCTCCAGTCGCGAAACTTCCGTTTGGGAAGGCACTAGAGCTGAAGGTTGAGGATGTGAAGACGTACAAGGAGGGTCCGGTCCCCCTGCACCTTCAGCAGTTCCGTCGGAGCCGGCGTGAGGCGGCGGAGTCCATTCTTCTTCCCCGTCACATCAACCGGTTGTTTCACAAAATTATGGGTTGGACGGAAGACGTCGTGGAGGTGGACTCGGAGTTGGCGCCACTTGACCCCGGAGCCGATGGCAGAGCGAAAGCAAGTGAAACGCAGCCAGAGTTGAAGAAAAGTGCAGCGCTTTTGCGTCAAAAGTACGACACACTCAGAGACAAGATGAAATACGGTGTGCTCTTGGATAGCTACGAAAAGGACAAGTTTGCGATTGAACACCAACTGGAGATTGCTGGCGAGCGGTTTGAGCGGAAATTTATGGAATGGGAGGGGATGCATGTGCTGGACCAAGATTACACAGCCGCCATGCAGGGAGTGCTGGAGAACAAGAGCTCCATCGTGATGGATCTGCCATCATCCTTCCACATTCCTGTCGTGAACCGCGATTGCTGCAAGGGCTGTGGGGCGCTCTTGCAGGACAAGGATGAGAACGTGTTTGGATATGTGCGCCGCGGGGACATTGAGAGGTACATCGTGGACCGACAGGCCAAGATGAAGGCCCGGGCAGAGTATGCGGATCGTATGTCAGAACTGCAGGTCCACTGGCAAAAGCATGGTCGCCGAGTCGGGGAGGAGTGGTTGGACTTTATGACGCAGGAGGAATTTGACGCCTTTTACAAGGATCAAAACAAACCGTTTGTTTGCCATCGCTGCCACGCGTTGGAGAACCTCGGCGTCGAGGGTCGCCGTCAGATTTGGTCGGCCCCTGACTTCACAGAGAAGTTACGAGCCCTACGTGAAAAGAAGTGTGTGGTAGTGCTTGTTGTCGACATTGCGGACTTTCCTGGAACGATGGTTTATGACCTTCCCGGCCTCATATCGATGAACAATGACGTCATTATTGCCGTCAATAAGATGGATTGCGTTCGGAATAGGTCCTTTAACTATAGTAACAAAGATCGAGCCATTGCCGCTCGACTCGTGACGGAACGGTATGTGCGCCGATGGGTGATTGGCATAGCTTTACAGTTTGGTCTGCCGCGCCATCAAATTAAGGATGTTGTTCCCATCTCCGCTAAACGCGGGTGGAATGTTGACAAACTTATCGCGGCTGTGGAAGAGGCATCGAATCTGAATTTGACTCGTCCGATAAAGCCCATGCCGACCTACTTTGTGGGCGTGGCAAATGTTGGTAAGTCTTCTGTCATCAATGCCATCGCTCACAAGCTGTACGTTCCGGTTCCACCGCACCCGGAGAGTCGCAAGGTTTACTATACGAGGAAAGCCAAGGATGGAACGGAAGCAGTCTTTTGGCGCTGGTACACTCCTCCTAACGTGAATCAGGCTGAGATGATTGACATTCCATCACGTCATGACAAGAAGGCATCGAAGTTACTTACCGTATCTTCACTTCCTGGGACAACTGTGGAAGCGAATGCGGTTCGTGTTTCATTGACTAAAGGTGCACCAGGTGACGCGGCGTACCTGTTTGACACACCTGGGCTTCTTCCCCACTGGCATCATTCTTCTCCTCTGACGTTGCTACAGATGCGTCGCACACTTATTCGGAAGTATCGGAATCCACAATGCTTTATCCTAATGCCTGGAAACACTCTTTTTCTTAGCGGTTTGGCTGCCATTGATGTTGTAAAGGGAACATCGCGCGGGATGCTGTTTATGGTGTATACCTCTCAGAAGGTTTGCAACGCAATCATAGCTACTGAGCGATCTGACGAATTTTGGCAGGACCAACTTGGAAAGGCATTGGATCCGCCTGGTTCATTGGAGCAACTTGGTGATCTTCGGTTAACTGAGTCGAAATGTTATCTTTTCGAGTGCTACCCTCGACATCGTCGCCGTCCAAAGGCGGACGTGTACGTCTGTGGTATTGGCTGGACCTCATTTTGTGTGAATGAAACATGCGATGTGGTGTTGCGTGTGCGCACACTGCCTGGCGTCATCCATGGCGTGCGTGAGCCCCTTCGCTACAAGGACCTATTGGCATTTCGCGGTTGGCCCAAGTTGAGGCGCCGCTTTACTGCTGCCGGTCTTCCCAGCGACGAGGGCGACTGGGACGATTCCATCGCCACCGTTGTTCGTCTCACGGCCGGCGGACCCGGTACTCAGACAACTGTGACGGGCGCCGAAGAGGACGGGGAGGAGGCATCGGCGGCAAAGTTGGTGCGCAAGGCGATACTTCCGCGACGTGTTTCGGCGTCATCGACCGCGTTTGACGTCATGCTGGCGGATCTCACGTTGAACGGGAGTGTCACACATACGAGGGGGGCGGACTCGGGGGAGTAAAAAACGGGTGGGTTGGAGAAGTAAAAATTCTTTCTTTCTCCCTCCTGGGGGGGGTACTGCCACCTACCGGCGCGGTGTTTGGTTGTTATTGTTGATTCTGTTTCTGTTTGTGAAATTTTTTTCTTTCCGCTTTGCGCACACACACACACACACATGCACCGTCTCTACTCTTTTTTTTTTTTCTTTTTTCCCCCTTTCTTTTCTTATTTTGCATGGTGTTACCAGCCTTCAGCGAACGAGTGAGTTTTCTGTTGTTTTATTTTCTCAGACTTAACAAAACATCGACATAATAAAGCGCCATGGGCTTCGAAACGCTTGCCGGGAGGGTTGGACCTTTTGCATACATGGTGTGCGCCTGCATCTCATTTGTGTTTGCAACTGTGTCGACGCCAACGTCGCAGTTTAGAGGAAAGGGGTACTTGGATGGAGGAAAAGAGTCGAAGCTGTCCTGCGTAACGGCATGGGGAGTTAAGAACGAATGCACCAGCAATAAATACGATCTGCGCTCTTCAGAGATCAAGTGTGAGGGTAACGATAAACGTTTGCATCAGTTATTTCAGACTACCCAAGCCTTTTCCATCATTTCCATTTTTTTAACATTTGCGTCTATCATTACTGTTGGAATGCTTTTTAATGGCAAGTCCACAAGACGTCTGACGCTCCTTTTGGCAGTTGCCAGCGTCGCAGCTCTCCTGATTCCGTGGGCATGCATGGCCGCCGTGTACAAAGGGAGCTTCTGCGGAACTGTTTTTCACGACAACTGGAGGCGTGACTGGAAGTACAGCTCTGCCTTCGGCCTGTTTCTCGGTGGCTGGCTTGTCCAGCTGGTTGGCACAGTCTTCTTGCTGGCACTGTGACCCGGACCGTGCCGACCACCCGCTTGCCCGCGGAGAAGAGGAGGCACCGAAGGGTCTTTTGGCGGTTCCAACGCGAAAGACAGCACATTTTTTTTTCCCGCTGATAAGATGCAAAATGAGTGAAGACGTTTTTTTTTTTTTTAATTGTGACCTTTTTTTTTTTTTTTTTTTTTTCTTTTTCTCTTGATTTCCCCGCCCCTTCTTTTTTTTTTTTTTTTTTTCTTCATTGATGTCTTTTGACTGAATGAAAGAAAAAAAAAGGCAAAAAACAAAAAAACAAAAAAAAAAAAAACAAAACCGCATTAAAGGCGGAAAAAACGACAACAATAAATGAGAGAAAATTCATATAACCGATGTGAAATGACGTCAGGGGCTGCGGTGTCAAATGCGTCCCACAAAAATTTCTTCTCTTCAGTTGTAGCCGGTGCATGGCCGCAAACGTGCATATAAATATAAATACAACTCGCTGTGAATAGACATGTACGCTTCTGTTGGTGGTGTGTGGGGGGAAAAAAAAAGACGACTCAAAATGAGCCAAAAAAAAACAAAAACAAAAAAAGGAAGGAAAGAAGGAAGGAGGACTGCGGTGTTTTTGCCTCTGCATTTTTTGAAAAATATTTTTGTCACTTTTTTTATATTTTTTATTTACTTTTTATATTTATTTTACATTTTATTTTATTTTATTGTATTTGTTTTTTTGTGATGTCTAAAAAATTGTTATTATTTTTTTTTTTTTGACTTTATTTTTTCATTTTCCTCCCTTGCGCTGCGGCTGTGAGCGGGGGTTGGCTGCAGCGTTAAAGTGGAGGGGAGGGCAGAGCCTGTTGACCGCTGTGTGTGTGTGTGTGTGTGTGTAAGTGAAGGGGACGGGAGGACGCACAGAGAAGAACGGTGCCGGCTGAGGTGATGAACAGACACTTTGGTGCCACGGCATAGCAATGAAGCAGACGAAGACGCACCGACGTTGTCATTCTTCACGTGGTGTGTGTTTGAGATGCGCGGTGATTGTCTCCCTTTCCGCCGCCTTTTCCCCTTACCGGCTTGGACCTTATTGTTTGGGCTCTCATCTAATTGGCCCGTAACGCAAGTGGATTTTATTGCCGGTTTTTTGTTTTTGTATGATTTATGACTTCCTACCTTTTTTTGTCTGTTTGTTTTTGCGGGAATGTCACTGGCACGTCCATTCTTTTTTTTGTTTTTCTTTATTGCCCCTCTCCCCCGTCCGTTCCGACACGTATGCGCTTTTGTTTGGCTACGAGGGGTCGTTGCGAATCACATATTTTTTTTTTTTTTTTGACTTCCCGTCATGTGTACGTGCGTGTTTGGGTACGCCTGACGCCACTCTCTGCTGTCCAGACCACCATTGCCGCCGCTGTTGTCTTTGTATGGCGGGGGAGTGGGCTGAAGGCGCTGCTGGAAGTTTGTGGTGGTGGTGTTGGTGGTGGGGGCCCATGCGCACATGTACGGATGTATAAGCCTCTGGAGGGAGAAGGGGGAGAACGAAGGAGGAGAAGAAGAAGCGTGCCCACACACGGACACACACACACACACACACACACACACGCCCGCACTTAACATAAAAGATGTTGTGACGATGAGGAGACAATACACAATCGCACATAAATAGGCACGCACGGACTTATATGTTGCTGCACGCGGTGTGTGTATGTCTGCAGTTATATTTAATTGTGCGGCGGTGAATGTGAGAATGAATGAATGAACAAATTTTTTTAAAAATTATTTTTTTTTTTGATTTTTTAATATATATATATGTATATATATGTATTTATAATAATTATAAAAATGTTTATTTTCATTGGTTTTTGTTTTTATTGAAGAAACACTTTTCTCTCGGTGTTTTCTGCGAGCGGGGATACTTTTCCGCCCCTTTATTGGGAGTCATTCATCCATGACGACTGGCGATGGGACAGGGCGGAGGTAAAAGGAGGAGCAGACAAGAATTTGTCAACAGCAGCGGTGGTTCCCGGACCTTCACCCGCATTTATTTTCCCTGCACTTCCCTGTCTGCGTGCACATATATACAATATATATACATATATGTATGTATGCATGTATACTGCGCCCGCCCTTGTTTCTTCTCTCTCCTCTTCTTCTGTTCTTTGCTTCCCCTTCCCACTCCCCACCCCGCACGTGTAGGATCAGCGCAAACAGCAGACACAACACCCGACCTTTTTTTCTTCCCCTCCTTTCCATCAGCAGCAGCAGTAGTAGCAAAAACAGACACTTTCGGACCGCCACGTTGCATTGTTGGGGCTTAAAATTACCGAACATCTTTTCGCACGGCTGGTTGTAACAGGAGGGACACGCTTGGGTTCATAGCCGGTTTATATATATCTCTCTATCTCTCTCTCTATATATATATATCTGCGTATAGTTGACGGGAAAGGGGCGAGTAAAGGAACGAGGAAGACTGAACATTTTTCATATTATCAAAGGAACCACAATAGAGCGAAAGCGTGGGCCCATTGTTTGAAGGATGTCGAAGAAGAAGAATTTTTTTGTACGGGAGTACGGCAAGCACAAAGGGGCGACGGGGCTGCTTCTTGCCTGCATGGTGAGTTTCATTTTCTTTGTTATCGGCACCCCGATCGCTATGCTTCAGCCGAAGTTGTCATCCGGAACGTGCTACACTCTTTGGGGCACGCGGCCCTGCAACAGCCCCAACTACAACTGGCGTGTGAATTGGGACACGTGCAAGGCCAGACGTCTGCGGTTCCAGTTTGGCGAGGCGTTCAGCATTTGCGCATTGTACTTTGCTGTAGTTGCCGGTATTGGCAGCTGGTATGTCCTCAGTGGGTCCAACAAGAAGTGGCTGACCGTGCTTGCTTCCGCGATTAGTACCGTCTCGGGTTTGGTGACGTGGTCTATGGTTGCTTCCATTCACAACGTTAAGTTGTGTGGCAGTGACACTTACACAAGTGCGAACACAAAATACGGCCCCGGCTTTGCCCTCTTTGTGACGGGCTTTGTTGTGCAGTTCTGTGGTCTTCTGGGCCTCATTGTGCTCGAGTAGGGGGAGAAACAAATAAGCAAATAGATAGATAGAGAGAAAGAGCCACGGGAATATTTATGAACGGAGAATGTGGTACGTAAGGTACTTGTAATGTATTAGTACGAATTTGTTTTCTCCAAGTGAGGCGGATGCAGACTGAGTTCTTTTTTATATTATTTTATTTGTTTTGTTTTGTTCTCTTCCTCTTCTCTCTCTCTCAGTCACTCACATAAACAAAAAAAATGTGAGGATTGAGCGGCAGCGGGGAAAGCGTCCCTCATATTTTGGCGCATGTCTACTTTGGCCACTTTTTTTGGTCATAAAATTGTTTGTGGCTTTGTCTCTTTGGTCTCTTACGCCTTTTACTTTTATGTCTAATGGAGGGAGGGGGAAATACGACTGTCTTCTCCCTACCATACGCGTACAGAGTTTTATTTTGTCCGACGTATTTTTAAGCACCACAATTTTTAATGGCAATGGCCTCTAAAATTGTTTTTTGGTACTCATTTATTTATTTATTTATTTATTTTTATTTTTGTGCAACTTCTTTTTCAGAAGCAAACAAACAAACAAAAAACCAAAAAAACCAACAAACAACAACCACAATGTGGAGTGGTGACAACAAATTAATAGTTTAATACCGGGTGGCCGGAAGAATGGGAATGTGTGTGTTTGCATGCCTCTGGTGACGTGTGTATTATACATATATGTATAATACATATATATTATGGATGTGCGTGCATGTATGCTCTGCTCCTACCATTATGACGACATGCCAATTCCATGTGTCATTGCAGATGCGTACATGCATGCACGTAAATGTATAAATATATCTGCTGGTGGTGGGGGGCATGCAGACATATATGTATAATTCATTCCTTATTTGTTTTGTGTTTTTATTGGCTTCTTCCCTTTATTTTATTGGTAAAAAAACTTTGTTGACTGCGGGAATAACCAAAAAAAAAAAAAAAAAAAAAGGGTGGGAGAGAGAAAGAAAGAGGAAATGGGGGCAAAGGGGGGGGGGTGAAAAAGAGATGATGATGATGATGGCCATGGCGGAATCACAGCTTAAAGCCAGAAGGAGAAGGAATCAATAAGAAGAGAGAGAGGAATAATAATACTGTCAGTGAGATGTGTGGTTTTTTATTTTGTACCTTTTTTTTTCTTCTGTGTGTGTGTGTGTGTGTGTGTTGGGAGAAAACGAAAGGAAGAAGGGGGATGTTTCATATTTCTTAGGCAACGAGGAGGGCAATGGGCCGGTGGGAAATAATGCACGGCGAAGAGGGAGCGAGTGGAGGGGGGACATTTTCACACCGGAGGGGAGGAACCGCCACGACTGCATGGCGTGTGGAGACGGTCTGAATGCGTGTGTGATTGCGCGTGCAATCGAAAGAATTCTCTTTTTGGTTCTTTTATTTTTATTGACGCGATTTTTATTTTCTTTTGTTTTTCTTTTGTTTTTTTTTTCCTCCTTTTTTCTTTTATTGCGCCGCACGAATACGCCTGCGTATTTGGATCCATTTTTTTCTCTGTGTGCATGTATGTGTAGTCTTGCATTGGGTGTTTTGTCCAACGCTCTTTAAGATGCCTGGCGAGAATTTCGGCGAAGTGGTGCTGATCACAGGGGGCTCTGGATTTATCGGCAGCCATGTTGTGGACCGTGCAATGCGTGAGGGATACACCGTTGTTGCTGTGGATAATCATTACACTGGCAGGGAGCAGAACATTGCCCATCACATCGACAAGGAGAATTTTCACTTTGTGAAGCATGACGTGCGCCATCCCTACCCTGAGGAGGTTTTGAGGCATAAGTATAACTACATCTTCCACCTTGCCAGCCCCGCGTCTCCCGTGCACTATCAGGCCGATCCAATTGGTACAACGCTGACATGCGTAAACGGGACGTACCACTCATTGCTTCTTGCCCAGCGGGATGACTGTCCGGTGCTCATTGCGTCCACCTCGGAGGTGTACGGTGACCCAATCCAGCATCCACAGACGGAGGAATATTGGGGTAATGTGAACTGCACTGGAGTGAGAAGCTGCTATGATGAGGGTAAACGGTGTGCCGAATCACTATGCTTTGATTTTCACAGGAAGCATGGAGTCAAAATTCGTGTGGCTCGCATTTTTAATACGTATGGTCCTCGCATGTGCTTTAACGATGGCCGCATTATTAGCAACTTTCTTATTCAGTCCCTCAGGGGTGAAGATATTACTGTGTACGGGACAGGCACGCAAACCCGCTCGTTTCAATATTGCGATGACCTTGTAGAGGGATTTTTCCGCCTTATTCGACACCCAACGGAGATAGGGCCTGTGAATTTGGGAAATCCGGACGAGTACACGGTGTTGGATATGGCGAAGAAGGTACGGGACTTTGTGCCCGGAACAAAGTCAAACATTTGTTTTCTCTCCCCCTGCGAGGATGACCCGAAGCAGCGATGCCCGGACATCAGCAAAGCGAGGCGGGTGCTTGGATGGACCCCCGTCGTTCCGCTGTCGGAGGGGCTGAGACGCACGGCCGAAGATTTTGCGGCGCGTGTGAGTCGTGGGGAGTGAAAAAGTTATCGTTGAGCGGGGCGGACAGGAGGGATATTACAGGGGGAGTCCTGTGTGACCCATGTGACCAAAATGACAGCGCGGCTGGGGGCTGTTGCCGGGAGGAGGAAAGAGGGTCTAATAAAACGCTGGTGTTAAGCGAGGGAAAAGTAAACTAAACCAAAAACGAGAAGAATGAAGAGAGAAAAAAAAAAAAAAAAAGAAAAGTAAATGAAAGCGAATCCCAAGAGGATAAAATTACATTTTTGAATGGAATTGGTGTGTATGTGTGTGTGTGTGCCTCTCTCTCTCTCTGTCTATCTTTTTTTTTTTTTTTTTTTTTTGCGGATGACTTCTACTGGAGCGCTGGTTATTTTAGGCGAAATTTTTGGAACAAAATGGAATTATTATTATTATTTTTTTCTTTTTCCCTGTTGTCTGCCCTTTTTTTTTGTTCTTTTTTTCTGTTCGTCGCAGAAATCCACGTAACAACTTATTTAAAATCCTAAAAAAACAAAAAACAAAAAACAAAAAAAAACAACAAAACCCAGGAACTAAACATGTCTCACCCGGCAAAGCTCTACGTGCAGTGTAATCCGTTGCTTGACGTCTCGGCAGGCGTATCGGACGAATTCATGGCAAGGTACAAGGTGGAACACGGCACCGCCACGCTTTTGGCAGAGGAGCAAGCTGGCATCTTCGAAGACCTTGAAAACTTGCCGGAAGTCAAGCACGTACCCGGCGGCTCTGGGCTGAATACCTGCCGAGTGGCACAGTGGATGCTGCAGGCTCCGAAAGGGTCTTTTGTTACGTATGTAGGCTGCATTGCGGACGACCGCTACGGCGGGATTCTGAAGAATTCTGCAGAGAAGGATGGCGTCAAAATGGTGGTTGAGTACACAACAAGGGAGCCAACGGGAAGCTGTGCGGTTTGCATTACAGGAAAAGAACGTTCACTTGTGGCAAACCTTGCCGCCGCAAACTGCCTTTCTGCCCAACACATTTATTCTCCAGATGTGGAGAAATGCCTTATGGAGGCCAAGTTGTTTTACCTGACCGGTTTTACCCTCACGATTGATGTAGCCTATGTTCTACATGTGGCTAAAAAGGCGCGCGAAGTGGGTGGGACATTTATGATGAACCTTTCCGCACCTTTTCTCATTGAGTTCTTCTGGGAGCAGTTCAGCCAGGTGTTGCCTTATGTGGACATCATCTTTGGCAACGAGTTGGAGGCGAGGACGTTGTCCAAGGCGAAGGGGTGGGATGAGGAGGACATGAAGGAGGTTGCGAAGCGGGCGTTAAAGGAGCTCCCGTACTCCGGCACGAAAGGTCGTCTTGTGGTCTTTACAAAGGGACCGGAGCCAACTATCTGCGTCACGAAGGATGAAATCACTGTCGTGCCCGTGGACCCGCTGGATCCCGAGAAAATGATTGACTTCAACGGTGCCGGAGACGCTTTCGTGGGCGGATTCTTGTCTGGCTATGCTCTTGGGAAGGATCTGACACGTTGCTGCATTCTTGGCCACTACGCGGCAGGGGTAGTGATTCAGCACGATGGCTGCACGTATCCCGAGAAGCCAATTCTTTCCCCCTGGGACTAAGAATGAAAATGAGAGGCGGCATAAGTTTTTTTTTTCCTTTTTCAGTCTGTTTTTTTTTTTTTTTTTGGCCAGAGCGGACCTGCAGGCACACGCAGAGGGTACTTTGCGTGGGGGAATGGGAAAAAAAATAAATAACATGAAAGGGTCTGTGGGAAGAAAAAGGGCCCTGTGGTGGCTTTGTTTATCTTTTTTTTCTTCTTATTTTTCTTCTGCTATGCGTTTTGCTTCTTTTCTTTTTTTTCCCCGTCCCTTTTCTTCTGTGGCCGGGGCGAGGTGACACATGACGTTTTGCCTCAGAAAGGGAGAGGGGGAAGAGAGCGCGTCTTCACAGGGGGAAAAATGCCCATTTGTTTTATAATTAACGATTTCTTTCCCTTCGGTTATTGTTAGATGGAAGGGGGGAAAAGAAGGAACGAAAGTGAATGGAGGACGTGTCGAAAGAAACGCTAAGAAGAATAGCTTCTAATGGAAAACAAAATAAAGGAGACTGTTAGAAGGCCGTGGCGATTTTTAACGTCTGCACATGAAGTGTGTGTGTGTGTGTGAATCTGTGGGTTGATTCATATCTGTTCCATATAATCAAAGGAGGGAAGGCACTTCATTTCTTTTTTTTCTTTTTTTTTTGCATGCGTCTTTGTCTCTTTTTTTTCTTTTTTTTTTTTTTTTTTTTTCCTTCTTCTCCGTTTGCTACTCATCACGCGGGTTCAGAAGCAAGGAAGGGGTGAAGAGAAATTACACGCGTTGTGCTTTATTGGCATTGCGTTTGTTTTCTTTGGGCACAACGGGCAACACAGGGCGGCACAAAGGAGAAAGGATCCGTGCAATACTTTGTGGCCGCTTTTCCCGGCCCTCTTGGGGAGGTACTGTTGAAGTAATACGTTCAGCAGAAATAGTGCCCGCAGTTTTCTGTGTGACATAGTTTTTTTTTTTTTTTCTGAGCTGCATTCTTGTTTTTTTTGCTTTTTTTTTATTACTTACGTGTGCGTCTGGGTGGTATCGGTGTTTCCTTGACGGCGCGGCATGGATGACTTGTGGGATGTCGGCGGGGAGAGATGGGCGTCTCCAACTGTCCTGCGCTCTCCGCGGCGGTCGAAATATAGCAGCATCCGCGCCCGTGTCTCACCGGCTGTCTCCGCGTCGAGTTCCCCCTCGAGGGTAACGTCGATGGCATTCCGGCGGACCCCTGAAGCCCGGCGTGATCCGAAGGCGGAGCAGCCATTGGATGCAAGTTGCTTCCAGCTGAAGGATGCGGTCACGTCCTTGTTGGATTTCTGTGACAACACCCTGCCTGTCTGGGGCAAGCGCGTGTCGGGGCTTGATGGCCATGCACGTGACTTGTCTCACGCGGACGTTGGCTTCTTGGAGCGGGCATCCAGAAGACTGGCGATTTATCTTGATCGAATTCGGGAAACAATGGAACTGCTGCAGCCGTACACACAGGGACCAGTGGCCGTATCAAGGTGGGGGAGATACGCACAGAGGGCTATTTGCCTCGCTGACAAATGCGCAAAAGGCGGCGGATGCCATTGGGTTCCATGTTGCACGATTACTCTCCTTGTACGCCACTGCCCCCCCTCTCTCCCCTGCATCGGCGCAATGGGTCATCCCTGCTCGACATTCCAAAGTGAGGTCGGCAGGAGTTACGCCGCGTAGGGTCAGTGATGACGGCACTTCCCGTGGGTTTTCGTCCACGGTGAGGCCTTTATTGCACGATTCATCTTCTGTGAGCCAAAGGAGCAACGCCACTCCGTCCGAGCCTCCAACTTTCCTCTCCCCATCAAATCCATGCACTCCGCCCCGAGAGCACATGTCCCCGCAGTCAGTTGCCATGATATTGGATGGCAAATCTGGTCATTCGGCTTATCAACGGAGCCAGTTAAAAAAAAGGCAACAGCAGCCGCAACGACGACAACAACAGACGTATCAACAGGGGCACGATTTCACTCCTTCTACTCTTCAACCCCTTTCACGGGGCCAGATCCCATCGGAACCCTCCTCAGAGGGTTTGAACAGTGTGTCATCATCGCACTCAAGATTTTCAAGCAGCAGTGAGCCCGTTTTTGAGGTTGGAAGGACTCATATGCGACTGCCAGAGCGGCGCAGGAACACGCATTCCAATGTAGGGCATGACGGGTCAACCACTCGAGATTATTTCCCCAAAGGCGGGCACAACCACGCTAATTTTGGAGATTGCATTGAAGGAGGTTCTTTTGATTGTTTCAATAAACATCAGAACTTTAAAGAGTCTCTCACGCCAGAGCAGCGTCGCCTTCTTTTAGAGCGAATTGATCGTATTGAAAGGCTACCCGGTGCGCCGAGTAAGTTGGAGGCTGAAGAAGCAAAGGGCATATTCGCGATGCTCTATGGCCCGCGGCTTGGACGGCGACAATATTTGGATTGGGTGGAGGAAAGGGAAATGCGGGCTTTGCGACGTCGTTGAGAAGATACAGTGAGGGAGGGGAGTTATTGAGTACATGACACCGCAACATCGTCGTTTGAAGAGGGTTTTCCGAGAGTGCAGACCTTTCAGAACGAAGCGCGTGAGAATTGAATTCCCTTTAGAGGGGGAAGTGGATCTATTTTTGGCTGACGGACTGTTTTTTTGTATTTATCTCCTTGTTTTTTTTTTTTTTTTTTACGGATGTTCCCACCGGAAAAATGTGAAGGAATGGGGAAGAAGAAGGAAAAATGACGGCGTTCCGAATACGTCGACTTTGTCCCTTTTAATTATTTATATCTTTTTTGCGTGCCTTTCTGTCTCCCTTTTTATTTTTATTTGAAGACACTTTTGTCTCTGCCCCATCTTTTTTTTTTTTTTTTCTGTTTCTGCCTGTTTTCCCTCCCTCCCCCTCCTCACATTCCGGAGGTTGCCAGCTACTGGCGCGGAAGAAATGAATGGTAACTTTGTTTTTAATGGCAGGAGTCGCCCGACGCATCTCTCTTTGTCTCGCGACCACCAGCCTTCGAAGGATGCGATTCTCGCCGAGACTCGGAAAAAGCGTGAGCGGCGCGAGATCAATCGCGTGCAGCAGCAAGCGGCTTTGCGCATACAGCGGAAAGCACGCCTGTGGCTGAGCCGAATGGCACTTGCTGATCTTGCGTTTAATTTGTTTCAATCCATCCGGGATGAATCGCAGAAAACACCGGGAAGGCGTTTGGAGCGCTCCTGTTGGGACTTTGAGTTTTTCTGTCGAGGTAAACGCCGTGGAGTTGATCATAATTCTCGCCGGATGATGTGCACACAGGTGGTTTTGCAGCAACTGAGGCGCAGCATCCGTGCGGGTAGTGTGAGGGAGGAGTTGTTTGGGTGTCAACATGGGCTTGACTTACTGGCCCGCCTGATATTCGAGGAGTACGCCAGGCCACCCGTTAACGCGGAAGAGAAGGAAACACTGTGGAAGGAGGAACACTTATTTCTGTTCGATGCGCTTCTTGAAACCAACAATTCATTGAATGAAAAGGTAAAACTGTGGATACGGGCTCTACAGCTTGTTATTCAGCACGGTACATCCGGAAACGCGTCTGTTGTGTCGAGGATACAAGGCTTGTATGCGTCACTCTCCGCAAGTGATGTTGCGGTGGCTATGGAGGCCCCGGAGGGTAGAGAGATGTTGCTGGAGGCCCTCACGTCTTCGGCCCAAAATGGGCCATATATTTCCCCCACCTCGTGTGCACTGGATGTACTCTTAGCTTCCCAACATGAAGAGGAGTGTGCCGTGAATCAAGAGGCGAATCGGGTATTGTTAGAGGCCATTGTAGATGTCACGGCAAGCAAGCTGCCGGAAATAATCCGCTTTAAGACGACAGCAGCTCTCGGCAAATTGGTGCGTCTGACACCTTTTTTTCTTGGAGCAGAGGGTTCTCGAGACGGGGAATTAAGAAGGAAATGGCTGAAGTGTCTTGTGGAATTGACAATTCATGCAAGCAGGGACGACGAGCTTCTGAAGACAACAATTGTAGATCTCATGCATCCACACATTGAGGGTCCCGCACATTCGAGTAGGTATGAGCACTTGCCGACGTATTTGTTTACCGCAGACTGTGGATTGCGTCTATTAAAGGAGAATGCTTCCGCCGTTGCGGCGCTTATTGAATCTAGTACCGAGGGAGAGGCGTCATCCCCATCGCGATCTAACGCCTTTTTTGATTTTAATCTTTTATGCAGCACGTTTGTGTGGCCCCTTTACAACTTTTCACTAAAGTCTCCGGAGCAGCGTATTGAGGTGACTACGATTTTTTCCAAGTTGGTGAATTCATCGGAGCTTTTGCGGAGTTTATGGAAGATATATCAAGACTGTCATAGCAGCGCCCCTAGAGACCCAAGTGGGATGAAGAAGGAGTCACTTTTGACTCGAGTAAAGGCAGGGGAGGTGGCTCATCTTCCTTTTACGGGCGAACCGCCGGCGGAGCTTCTTGGCACGGTGACAGGCACAACGTCGGCACGCTCTTTGTTCTGGGACATGTACCCTGCGGTGTCGGTGTTGTTTTTCACTTTGCTGAGCTACTTTGTGGATGCCACGGATTTTATGGAGGAGCTTGAGAACGGGGTAGTGATGGATTGTAACGACGCCGTATTGCTTTTACTGTCGTTGAAGGGGATTGTGCATCGGTCATACATGCATGGCATTTTCCCCCATTGTAACGGTGAGGCTGTGGCACAGACGGCCCTCAGGTTATTGACCAAACTACATGTTATAGATGAGGTACAGTCGTTTGTTCCACATCCCTCGGTCTGGATAGCTATTACCGATCCGATGATTCTTGGCACGTTTGAATCCATTACCAGAGAGACGTGGTTAGACGTTGACGCGGCTTTAGAATTTTCCAAGCTTAACTACTTGGAGGGGAATGAGGGCGATGCTGTGCAGGTAAACAGCGCCTCGATCTGTCACCCACATTGGATGGGGAGCACGACTTGGTCCCATCAAGAGCGGATTGTTCGGCTGCTTCAAAATGCTCCTTTTACTATCCCTTTTAATGTCCGTGCCTCCGTGTTTTCCGCCCTTATCCTTAGCTGCGAGCAAAACATGCTTTTTTACTCCCAGCAGCCCTTTTTGGTGCATCGTGGCCACGTCTTTATCGACGCATTCGACCGGTTCGCCAACGTGCCAGACAGCCCTGACATGTTTAGCGTGCGGTTTAGAGACACGAACAATCTTGTGGAGGAGGGCTACGGTGAGGGCGTGTACCGCGAATTCCTTGTGAATTTATGTACCGAGGGATTTGCTGCCGAGTACGGCATGTTTCGTCAGACCGAAGACGGCGACGTGTACCCCAACCCGTTTAGTTATGAAGTGACTGGGGACCCGCAGCACCTGCGGCGCATCACGTTTCTCGGCGCCATGGTGGGTCGGTCACTGCGAGACGGGGTTGTGCAGGACATTCCTTTTGCACCCCACTTCCGGAACGCAATTCTTGGCCGCAGCAATTCCATCAACAACTTAAAGAGCTTTGACCGGCAGCTGTACCGCCAAATTATGTCTCTGCGCTCACTGAGCGAGGAGGAAATTGAAAATCTATCACTGACATTTACGTACACGGTGGATATATTGGACGAGGTGCGGGAGGTGGAGCTGCTGCGTGGCGGGAGAGACATTCCGGTCACACGCCGCAACTGCTTGAACTATATTCACCTCCTTGCAGGCTTTAAGCTGAACCACGAGTCTGCCCGCCAGACCAGGGCATTTCTGGAGGGCCTGGGAATGATTGTAAATCTCAGTTGGCTGAAATTATTTGATGGAAAGGAAATTATGAAACTTTTTGGCGGGGATGCTGAGAGCGCCATTGATGTCTCGGATTGGAGAAAGCACACGCAGTACCACCGTGCGGACGACGAGGAGAGTGTGCCTGTGCATGTCTTCTGGCGGGTGGTGGAGGCCATGTCTTTGGAGGAGCGGAAAAGACTACTGAAGTTCACCACATCCATGAATCGGCCCCCACTGCTTGGGTTTCAGTTTCTCAATCCCCCGTTCAAAGTGCACGTTGAGTGGGACGCATCGGAGGAGCGGCTACCGTCTGCGTCAACGTGTTTTTCCACACTGAAGCTTCCGCCATACAAGGACTTTAAGACCGCATTTAGTAAAATTACGGCAGCGATTGAGGGAACGGAAGACTTTGGTCTCACATAATTCGTTTTGAACAGAGATGTTGTGGTGCGTATTTACGCCCATGCATAAATATATATATATTTACAGCGAACGGAGGTGAGATGTACAATTTGACGGGTACTTTACCCTTTTATTCCCTTTCCATCACTAGTACCACCACTAGCACTACGACTACTACTAATACCACTGATGAAACGTACAAATTTCTTTTTTTTGTTTTATAGTTTTTGGTGTTTTTGTTCTTCTTTCTTCCGTGAGTGAGAAGAAAATACTCACCTCCTCCCCCCCAGAGAAAAAAAAAAAAAAAAAAAAAGAGATTTTTGAGTGCTTGCTCCCCAAACATTTCTATTGTCACAACCCCTTTTGGTCCACCCCCATATTCACCGCTGGTGCGTGTGTGTGTTTGCTTCTCCCCCGCACACCTTCTTCTATTGTTTTTGCCATATGTGCGTATCTATCGATCTATATATTTTACGTGTCTCCGCTTTTTTTTCTCCTTTTTTTTTTTTTTTATTGCTTGTCTTCTTCAGGTATTTTGGACTCCACCGCGCCTTGTACTCTCCCCCCTTTCTTGTTCTCCACCTCTGGGGAAAACTGGAGCTGGAAGTCTTTTCTGGCGCATTAACCACGTGAATTGCACCCAGGTGCCATCTGTAGAGGATGCTTCACGCTTCACGGCTTGCTTGGGGCCCCTTCGTCCTCAACACCCGCGTGATTCCTGACTGGTGGCAGTCGTTCCAGAGGGAGGATCAGCACCGGGTGGCTCGTGCTCGCGCCACGCAGCTCCGCACACCTCGTGACGAGAGCAGACAGAACGACGTCACTCCCATCACGTTGCGCGAGGCGGAGGAACTAGTCAAGACATATACACGAAACCACAACGCAGAGGATCTCAGTTGGATTGTGCAGTACATTCGAGAGACGATGGGGGAGCCGCTGAATCTCCTCTATTATCACTCCCTTTTTCGTGTTTTTAATTACACTCGGGATAAGGAGAATATTGAGCAACTTCTTCATGTCATTACAGAAAGTGGGGAGGCGGACATGGGTACATACGCCCTTGTGGTAGACGCACTGCACTGCTTAAGCCCTGTAGATACACTCGCACGGATTATGCGCATGATCGCCGTCACCCAAACGTCATTTGGAACTCTGCTATCTGAAAGCGGTTGCCCGTTGTTAACGTCATTGCTTCACCATTTGGCGAACACCGGCAAGTATCCGTCTACTGCGAGCTTGCTTGTGGTGTTTTGGATACGGGCATTGGGAGCCCAGCTCTGTGATTGGGACTATGTACATGTCTTATCAGCGTTGCTTTCGCATCCAGACGACTTTCCTCAAATAAGAAGCACTTTGGGTGCTTTTAGCGATTTTTCTCGAGGCACTGTAAGCCCCGAGGCCCTTTTTAGGCGACTAGAGGACCGTGGGGAGCTGTCGCCGCCCTCAAGTCCACTCAACACAATTGTTGCTGCGATGCGAGTATCACTTTCACAGGCAGGCGTGAATCTTGAGGAACCCGTGCAGAATTGCGTCATCAACACGAGAACCGCCGGTTTGCCATCCATGGTGGAACATATTGTGAATGATATGACCTCACTTGCCACCAGCGGAAATTTTAACGGTGATCTTTTGAGCTGCTACCATGTGCTTGCGTTGCTCTATAGTACCCTTAGAAATGATACCGCAGCTGTGGAAACACTGCGATATGTCGCGCGCGAGATAAGACGCCGGGAGCGCTCTGTCGAATATGAAGGCGGAAATGCTGCTTTGGCGCCAATTGGTGAATATGTGCACCACCACTACCTGATGGACATTGGCAGTGTTCTCAACCGTGTCAGCATGAGAACACTGCAGCGGGCACGGGTGGATTACGCCCATTTGGCCCAGAATGCGAGTTCTGACGTCTCGGAGAATGATGTTGTGGCGGCTGAGAGCTACGCGATTCTCTTTGTACGTAGCAACGAGGAGGCGGAGGAGGCGCTTCGACAGGCATCGCAGAGTGTTGACTTGTCAAGTCAGCGTACACGACTTTCCACGAAGCTGTTATTTCGAAGATTTGTCGAGCTTTGTGCCCGGCACCCAAAGCGGAACTGTAAGCTCACGCCCGTCGGTCTGGAGGAGCGGCGGAAGTGGGGCAGGTATCTTGACGCGCGAGATACCTCACTTGCCCTCTTTGGTTCCGCAAAGCAGGCGCGTGATTCCATGAAACACTTGTTCTACAATGACAACAAGCTGCCGGAGCTGCGCAGCCACGCAATGATTGAGCGGGACATGAATGACACAGCGGCGTTGTTTAAGTGGAGGCGGGCCCCAACCATTGCATCGCTACGGGTACGTTCCTCCCTCCCTCATGTACGTTGTCCAGCGGATCCTGTGCCCCGTCATCTGTGGGATCCGGATGTATACAACCCCTATCCACAACTCATGCTGCAGATGAGCCCCATGGATGATGAGCGCGTTACGGAGGACATCTTTCAGGAGTTATGGCATGTTCTCATGAATCCATCGGTGGTTGGAACAGATCAGTGGTACTTGCGTGACACGGAAATGTATCTGCTGCTTTTGCGGTGTCTCATTCATCGGCTTGATTGGGAGGCGGCGGTTCACCTGACACTCAAGACAATGGAAAACCTAACATACACCTACATGATGGATCACGAGGTAACGTTAATGTTTAAAGAAATTGGTGACCCCGCTGGTTGCCTAGCGTTTAAGGTGGCAACCAAACTCTTTGATGGACGTATTATCAAGGACGGCCAAAGTAAGCGGGAAAAGTTTCACCAGGAACAGTTTGGCGAGGTTTGAGGGAAAGTGAAAGAAAGCTGTTTTGGTGTGGGTGGCAAGGCAACTGGCCTGGTTGTTGTTTAGATAGACACAAACTCAAATTCATTACTTCTTTTTTTAGTTATCTACTTTTTTTTTTCTTATTCCATTTATTTATTTTACTTTATTTTTCACAAGCAATGGCTACAACTGATCCGCAGCCACAGCAAGAGCCAAAATGCACTGAGGTGAGCCCCTCTTTGACGGCAGTGACGGTCTTTAGGGATCGAGCACAACTCACTTACGTCGCCAGCGCCTCGCTTCCTGTTGGGGCGCACGTTATTTCCATGAAGGGAGAAAAGGGTTGGGAGAGTGTCTTGCAGAACACACTTCAGGTTCATGTGGAGGGGGCAGAGAATCAGCAGGTGGTGATGCGAGGGGTCCGCTTCAGGACTCACGTCACCAAGGAGGATGTGCGGGAGCGGGTCCGGGAGCTTGAGAAGGCACGGGACAAGGTTCGGGAGCTAATTGACCAAATTGCCGACAAGAAGGCGGCGAACGACGCCGTTGAAGCTGCACTGAAAAAGATGGAGGAAAAGCTCCTTATCATGGGGGAGTGCGGTGTGGGGCCAGAAGTACGTGCAAGCATGGGTCCAATGGTCGGGTTTCTTTCAAAACCGGAATCCTGGTCAGAACTGGTCCGTTTTATTACTCGCCGCAAGCTGGCACTGGGAGAGCTCCGCTTGAAGCTTTCACGGCAGCAGGATGAGCATGAGGAGGAAGAGAATGAGATAATAAAGAAGCTGGACGAGCTCACCGGAGGTAGGCATAAAGAACGGCAGGAAACATCGGTGGAGGTCATGATTTCTGTTTATGCACCGCATGTGAATTTAAAGCTTGCTGTGAGTTTTGTCGCCATGGGCGTCTCGTGGACACCGTTGTATGACATCCGTGTGGACCCAGAGCGGTCCGTAATGGACGTGACGTACCACGCTCAGGTGTGTCAGGGCACCGCAATGGACTGGAACAAGGTACTGATGAAGCTCAGCACAGCTACTCCCCACTTCAGTGCAGCTCCGCCAGAGCTCAAGGAGTGGAATATCAGCTTGGATCCACCAAAGTTCCCTGTGGGGTTCTCACGTTTTTTGTTACGTTCACTTCCTTCCAATAACCGAAGAGGGAGGGGTAATGAGGAGGCATTTTCAAGACCGCAAGCCGCCCTAGTGGAGCAAGCAGTTGTTTCGTCTTCCTCCACATCCAGCACATTTCAAATTGTCGGCCTGGCCACTGTGCGGAGTGACAACAAGCCGGTGAAGGTCACCATCGCCACGCACACATTTCCCGTGAAGCTGGTGTATCATGCGGTGCCGAAACTTAGTCCGTGGACGTACCTCATTGTTAAGGCAAAGAATACAAGTCCATACGTATTCCTCTCCGGAAAAGCAAATGTTTTTGCTAATAACACCTTTGTAAGCAACTCACAGTTGGAGCTTGTTCCAGTTGGTGCAGAATTGACGATGTCAATTGGTACAGATGATGCTGTGAAAGTAACACGGAAACAAGTGAAGCGGACTAAGTCTACTCTACATGCCATGCTGCGCAACCGAAAAAAAGTCATTGAATATGTGTACGAATTTACCGTGAAGAGTTCATTGACGGCAGAGGCAACCTTGGTGGTGAAGGACCAGTGCCCCGTCTCCTCGCACAAGGACATTACGGTGAGACTCATTGAACCAAGCAAGAATATGCTAACTGAGTGTACGAAAGTGGATGGCAATGACTGCAGTGTGGATAACGGAGGCATCGTGGAATGGCGATTGCAACTGCCATCTGGGGTATTCACGCGTGACTTTCGTTTTGCCTTCCAGGTGGAGCACAATGAGAATATGGATGTCAGTGGCCTCGACGTAGAAGACTGACCAGACGCTAAGAGGAGACAGAAAGGGGGGAAAAAAAAGAAGTGGAGACGTAAATGAAATGGGGAGGGTTAGGGGGGGAAACGATTGGATATTTTCAGAGAAAAAAGTGCATTTTTATTTTTATTTTTTCTGTGTGAGGGTGGGTGGCCACCGACAAGGCCGGATTTTTTAAAAATTTTATTGTTGATTTGTGTTTTATTTATTTATTTTTGTTGTGGTTGGAACTACAACAGCTTGAAGGAATTACGGCTCTGTTGGGTTTGTTTGTTGGCCCCTTGCAAAAATACCGTGTAGTTTGGCATTTTTTCTTTCTATTTTCCACGAATTGTTTGTACGCATTCCACACGCGGGCACACGGAAGAACAACAACAAAACAAAGGCGGGAGCACTTTTGAAAGCAGTTTGGAGGACGGCGAATTGGCAGCGTGGGCAGGAAACGAAGACGGGCGCGAAGTTCTGACGGCAAGAATGGAGGAGCTGCAATGCAGCCTCCTTGGGTTTTCGTCCACGTCTTTTCCCCTCGCTGCTTGTGCGACACGGCGGAGTTGTGGAGGTACTGGCGGAACGCAGACATCCGCTGTTTTGTCGCAGCTGCATCTATCGGAGCGTGCGTTGGTTGAAGACGCTTTACCGCTTGGGGCAATGTGCCGCGCCTTGCGCAGTGTGGCAACGGACATTGCAGTGGGCCGTACCGAAGGACTGTATCTCTCGGCCATTGGAGCTGCCATCACAGGGATACTGGAGCACTATGAGAAGGCAGTCCAGAATGCAACCACAGCAACTGCTGTTGCTGGACTTCGCCCTGTGTACTTCCCTGCCTTCACACTCCTGACGGAGATGATAGATCAGCAGAAGAGTACAGATGCTATTCTCTCTACCATCCGATCTTTTGTGTTGAATCGGGAGATTCCACAGGAGTTTAGGGTGTGTCTTGGAGAATCTGTGTGGATGGGTCTTCTTTACACGATTGCACACTACATTGCCCATGGTGTCGTATTGCATGGTCGGAAGGACTTCTTTATATCTGTACGGTCTAAGGGAGGAAAGGAGGATCACACATTGCACACTGATCTTCTCCCGCATGGAGTTTCAGTGGAGCTTGGCATGCTGATTCTATCCGTTGGCAAAGAGCGACGTGTGGTGCTTAGTGAATCCGAGAGTCACGGCAGGGAATACCTTGAACAACTAGCGTTAGGGGCACATGACGAGACGGCAAATACCGTTTTCAAGGCAATCTACAACTCATCGCTTTGTGCTGGTGGCTTTTTGGCGGCTGACGAGTTGGAGACACGTATTGAGGCAGCTCGGGCTCTGTGGTCAAAGACACTTTGGCTGAAAGTAGGTGAACAGGCAGTCTTGCATGAAAATCTTGTTGCTTTGCGTGCGGTATTTTTGTGTCACCGGGGGGATCTCTGGCATGCCTTTGTGGAGTCTGCTTTCCCAGGTCTTGTCGACAGTGCGGTGCACAAGACCATCTTGAAGGAAGCCGCTATTGGACGGGTGGTGGCGGATGCCTTTGTGCATGCATTGAGTGTATCTGGCTTGGGTGACGCACCTATTTATGAGAGATTTAGTATGTTTATTGTCCTTCCACTGGAAATTGGTGATAGCAAATTACGTTCGATTGAGGAGACTGCGCGGACTATTCTTGGATACATGCGAGGTCTTGGGCTTCACTACGTCATGCCTCGGGGACTTCACTTGGTGTTGTCGACAAAGGCATTGGAATACTATCAAAGGATTTTTTCTTTTCACATTGCCAGCCGGTTTTCACTGCATGCGCTGCACAACGTTAGACATGTTTTTTCAGGAGCTTTTGTGACGAATAAGCAACCATCAGCCGAGCTCCGTCGCACCTTTTCGTTGATGCAACTGCTGTTGTTCCTTCACACCACATTAGGCTACCACATGCAGGTGGATGTAATTCTACTGCAAACCGCAGAGCTTGAAAAGGCAATGGAGAAATGCAGAAGTGTACAGGACGCAAAAAAGTGCCTTGATCGTTACGTTTGGCACGTTGCAGAGGGATCTTTCATAACGGAGGGTTCAGGTCCTCTTCTATTGGCTTGTGAGTCTCTCTTCCAGTGCTCCATCGCTCTCTACGTCCTTTGCACGCGCTACCGCTTGACATCGTGGGCGGTGGACGGAGTGCAGATTCCCCTCGAGGTCTCTGCAGCGCTGGCCGCGTTGGAGACACGAGTGCACCAAGATGTCGTGGCGGCCTTCACTGGCCATCTTTCGGGCTCCGCAACACGTGCGACGGAGCGGGCCTTGTGGACTAGGCTTGATTTTAATCGTTTTCTCTCCGCTGGTGTGCGTTTTAATAATAGAAAGACGGAGTTTCCACAGCCCACTGCAGCGAAGACGAGAGCGGTTTCAGGGGTGCGAGCAGCATCAGCAGCAGCCCAAGCAACGATTAGGGGAGGAGTGGCTTCGGCACACGATGCGCCTGCGAGCCGCAGACGTATGGATCTGCTGCCACGCGCCGCCCCCTCCACGTCGAATTCTACACGTGGGTGACGTGTGTGTGTGTTTTCTACCGTTTTTGCTCCGCCTTGCTGCAATGGTTGGGTGATGATGGCGGCGAATTGTCGGGAGAATTTTGTTGCGTGTAGAGGGAAAACCACATTTTTTTTTTTTTTTGCATTTTATTCATTTATTTTTTTTTGGCTGTTGTTTCGTTTCCCTCCTTTTTTCTTTTCCGTTGCTCGCCAAACCACCTCGTCTCTTCAGCGCCGCACCTGTTCTCGGTGGCGGGAAAGTAAGGGGGGCGCAGGGGGCCGAGGCTCCTTACTCTTTATTGCAATCTGCACCATTCTTTTGGATGGGCTGCGGGGGCGGTTGGATGCAGGCAACGTGAGTTACTCCGTCAATTCATCCCCATTCAACCCAACAGGATGTGTGCGATTTAGAACCCGAACTGGATGTTGCCAGGTTACACAGGGGGAGAACAGGAGGGTGTCATTTCTATATATATTCCTTCCCCCGAAGGAAATCATTTTACTCGCGAGATTGCGGAGTACGTGGGAGAAAAGCCGGCGGAACTTATACTCGTAATGCAGCACTTCCTTCTTGGTCTACCCAAGCCTTTGCGTCGAATGGATTCCGGATCGTTGACCTGAGGTTTCAGGGCAGGGTTACACTCTGCGGTTTCTTCTTGTGGGGTACTTGGACACTTTGTGGCGGGCAAAATTGTGCGCATCCTATGAGGATGGCTTTTCTCTAATGAAGCCTACGGGACGACGGCAGGGGACGCATTGGCGGATAATAGTGCCAATGTCACAGTAGAAGAGGCGGTGGGAGCTGATTTTGATGCACGATTTCAAGGTGGGCGGAGTCACTGTTTTGTGGGGCCAAGTACTCCCTGTAGAGGAAATGGCGCTGAAAGTACAATGTATGCCACAGGCGACAGACATCATTGCTGTGCAAACATTCACTGGGTTTGTGGGCGGATACAATTTTTTTCAGAGCCATGGAGAGGGGAAATGTGGTGTGACTGTGCCTGGCGCTCTTCTTTTTGGGCACAGGACGAATGGTTTTGCAGTGGGCTGGGATGCTGTCAAGGAAGGTTATCTGGCGAATGCTGCACACGTTAGATATTCATCTTCTTGGGATGTCCTTGAGCGACCCACCGCCACTAACGATGGGGAAGAGGAGATGGTAACAGACCGGACATAAAACCGATCCGCAGAATGGCTGCAGATAAAAATATGGTGACGGATGTCTTTTGGCGTGCATCCCAGGCCTATCCACCCTTCTCAATGGGCATGCATAAGGCATCGCACCTTTTGGGACAAAAGGGGGCAAAGCATTTTGTTGCTTATGTCTTTGCGCACATTATGGTGGTGTTGCCCCCGCGCAACCGCATCCCACCGCTGTTTTCCCGGTTGCCACTGCTGGCATGGGAAATATGTCACGCTTGGGGAGACATCTGACAAGAGCAAAAGACTTGGCTTCTCTTGTTGAGGTATCGTGGTAGGAGCATCACGGGTCTTCAGTGGGACCACACGGGAAAAATGCGGTGAGGATAATCTCGTTTGAGAAGTTCTTTCTGCAAATATTTGGGCACTTGGGGCGCGCCACAGATGCAACGTGGAGCAGCGAAGCGGAGGATGCATGGCTTACGGCCTTTACGAGCATCGATGAACGGGTTGCATCTGCACTGTCCATTGAGGAGCGTTGCGCCGGATTATGTTTTTACGGAGCGAAGTGACAGTAAAAAAAATAAAATTGTGAGTGACGGTGTGGGTTGTGAAGATGAGTGAGTGGAGGATGGAGGAAACAGCAATGGCGAAGCAGAGAGTGAATGAATGTGGTGCAAAAAGTGACATGTTGGCGGATGATTTAAGGATGCGTGTGGGGAAACGCCCACCAACAATAAAGGCAAGACTTCAAAAAATATTACTGCTCGATGTGTTATTATTATTATTATTATTATTATTATTATTATCGTTACTGTTATTGTTATTGTTATTATTATTTTTTTTCCACCCGGTACACATCACACACAGAGACTCATATAAATGGAGTCTTCCACAGGTGCTAATGAGGGCGCTGGTGAGGAAGAGCGAAATGTGCGCCGGCGACTCTCTAGTCCCACACGTGAAGTCGAAGAAAAAAAGAAGCAAAAGGAGCATTCTGTGGAGCCGTCGTCAACGCGGGAACCTGTGCCTTCTTCTTCCCCCTTTGAAAAGAAGGCAGTGAGTGGTCTTTTCTATATCGTCACGGAGGAAGGTGCATGGCGTAAGACGGTGTGCCATGCGAACTCGTCGCAATTTGCCGAGGCGGAACGGTGCTGGGAGGAACATCGCACCACAGGAAAAATGCATCACGAGCCCCCGTGGCGAGTTTGCTCCGTGGCTGAGGACAACCGCGAGCATCCGTACTACGTGCGGTGGCTAGACACCATGGAACTTCCCCCGCTGGAGGAATTACTAAACAAGAAGAGTGGCAGCGACGGTGCCACTGAGAAATGCGGCGGCGATGGCGTGGGGAAATGACCGCGTGTGGAGAGGGAGAGCCCACAAAGTAGAAACCCACACACCCACAAAAAAAAAAAAAAAACAAGAGAAAAAATGAGAGGCATTTGCTTCTGCGGTCTGGCGTTTAATCCGTTTGTGAAACGACGAAGAGGAGAGTGGACTGAAGGGGATGTGTACATTTGTTCTTTTGATTTTCGCAGCAAAACAGATGAAATCCGAGGGTTGGACCTTGCACTTATTTAAAAGCTGCCACTTCTTTTTTCCTTCAGCCACTGTTTGGGCCTTAAAGGCGCACGCGCAGAGACGAGATTTCATCTCTCACTTCACAGACATGATATTTTCTACCATTCCACTACATCTTCTCCCTCTCCTTGTTGCCGAAAAAAAAAAAAAAAAAAAAAAAAAAAGGAAAAAAAAGGAGGAGCAAAAACTTAAAAGAACGAATAATAAAACAAGGTTCAGATGCGGCGTGTCCTTTTTTCAGCTGCTATTTCTTTTGTCCCAAAGGCACCACTTTTCCACCGCTGTGTTCCCTCGGTGGCAACAGCGGTATCCATGGGTCCCCTTGTGGCAATGGAGCAGCGACGCCTCGCATCACACGCTGCGCTTTCCAGTGCTCTCCGTCACGAGCTGGAAGAGGAACAGCAGCGCTCCGAAAAGCCTGCAAAGCCCGAACTTCCAGCAGGCTGGACGTTGGAGCGAAAGCCCGGCCAGATGCTCTTTACAATGCGTAAAAAGCATGAGGACGAGGAGATTGTCATCCGTTGCCTTGGTGAGGAATCGGGCGATGATGATGTCGTTTCACTCGATTTCGATGCATATATTACGTGCAATAACAAGGCGTTGGTGTGCCGAATGAGTTTTGAGAGTGAGGAGGTCATCATGGGGCAGGTCTCCTTCCTGGATGACGCAAAGCTGGCATTAGATGACTCGGTGGAGGGGAACCAGAAGCGCCAGTGGCTGTACAAGGGCCCCAAATTGGACGAACTGGACGAACGCCTCGTTGACTCCCTGACGAGTTACCTCAAGGACCGGGGTGTGAACGAGGATTTGTGCAGGTTCATGGAGGAGTACTTCTTCTGGGCGGAGCAGGCAGAGTACGAGGAGTGGCTCAGTGCAATCAACCGCTTTGTGTCGTAAGTTGTTCCCCACGATGTTTTTCTCCCCGTTTCTTTACGGCCTTTTCCCCTTCCGCTACCCTTTTTATTTTTCCTCTTGCGCTTACGATTCACTCCTTATTAACGTCGATGGCTGCACGTTAGGCTCACCAGGGTGGGGGGCTGCCGTCCGTCCCACAGACGCATGAGTGGGTGGGGAGAGGACGGAGGAAGAGAAGGCGGCGAAGGAAAAGGAAAAAAGAAAAAATTCACGGGGTATTTTTCGCTGATGGAAACTCACAGTCGAAGGTAAACACACAAACACAAACACACGACAATAAAAAAAAAAAAAAAGAAAGAAAAACAACAGCAGAAACAAATTAAAAAAAAAAAAAAATTAAAAGGAGGAGGATTTTCTATTTACACTCCTATTTTATTATTACTATTATTAACATTATACATAAATATATGCATGCATACATACCTAATTGACGGCAATATGCACACACATATATGTATACATCCATATTTCTTTCTGGTAATTAGCAAAAAAAAAAAAAACGAAAAGAAAAAAAAAAGAATTTTTTTTTTTTTTTTTTGTATGCGGTTAGGAGGGTGAATTGGCACGGCAGTGAGATTTATTTAATAAATGCTTTTTTGTTTCTGCGTGTAATGCCACTGGTACCATATTGGATGCGTATGATTCCCCTGCCTGTGAGTGCGTGTGTGTGTGTCTGTGTGTCGGTACCTGTGGTGCATCTATTTGAAAAAGGGAAGAAGAATAAATACATAAATAAATAAATATATATTTATGTAGGGGAAGGGGCTGTGTTTGTTTTTGTTTTGGTGAGATTTATTTTTTTTATTTATTACCAAAACATTTTTTATTTTTTTTGTTGTTGTTGTTGTCTTTTTTTCCCTTTACGAGGCGAAATCAGGATTACGAAAACTGCGTGTATTTATATATATAAATTTATATAAATATTTGTATAATACTTACGTACATCAGATTATAATCATTATTTATTTCAAGGGATGCTCCACCAAGCTGAGGAGTACGTGGGGGCAGTTCCTCTTATTATTTTCCTTAGTGACACGGACTGCACGGTTCAGGAGAAGCCAGCACCACTGACGTATGTGCTCCCACGAAGTTCTGTGCTAATGGCTGTGCGAAGCGAAGTACAAAACTTCTTTTCCTCCTACACCGTTGTGAAGGCCGACGCATTACCGCTTGTGTGGCTGACGTGGAGGGGTGAGCCGGTGCCATGGCACTACCCCATAGGAGCAATCAAAGACAGCATCAACGCACTGTTGATTGCGGAACGAGGCAATACGGCTTCGAGGGCATACCACACAGAATCATCGCCGCTTTCCCCGGCTGAGTTGTACCCCACAGTGTTTGGCTCTCCACTTATGTTGGAGGTGCGCATTACATGCGTGACCGCGGAAAGGCCGTTGGCGGTGCCCTTTGCTGGACAGGAGGAGGCTCTTTCTCGTCGCTCAACAGACCAGGCAATGGGCGAATTCTTGAAGCAGGTGATAAAAGGAACCTTTTCCGCCATGTACGGCAGCATTAAGGCACTTATGGATGTTCGTAGCGAAGTTATTAATGACTTGCTGAACTTCGCCACGTGCATATCCGTCGGAGATCCATTCGTGCAGGCTTTGAGAGCCTACAATGAACGCATCGTGGGGTTGCGACGACTGGCAGGGAAGCCAAAAAACGTGGCTGTCATGATCAACAATCCATTTGGTAAGAATTCCATGCACTTTGCGCTGTTTCGCGTTCCTCTTAGGGTTTCTGGAGTGGGCGATGACAAATTTACTCACGATAAGTTCGAGAAGGCACGACCAGGCGTGGAAAGCAACAATAGTAACTGCAGCAACGACCACGAACCCAGCAATCCTTCGGACAAATTAAGCGGTGAAATGAAGCCCAAGGAGCACCCACTGGAAACCCCCTTTGGAATGGTGGTTTGGCGGGCTCTCCTTGAGCCGTATTTAAAATGGCGAAACCTCAATGGAGAAGACGGCGCCAATTCGACTTGTGCCGAACCCTTTTTTCGTGCTCTCTCTCCTTTTTACAATGGCTTGGATACTAATGCGTCCGTGAACGCTGCGCTCTCTTCTCCTGCAGCCGATGCACTTGCTAATGACTTTATTGCAGCGGGCGATGCAAATACGGAGTCGATTGGGATTCGAGTGACAATTCCCGCAACGCCTCCCCAAGAACGACGCCTCTGCCTTATCGTTCAGGGACTGCAGCCGCCGCTGTGCACTCCGGTGGGATATCTTCTTGACCGTTTTGCTTCTGCGGATGGTCGCTTGTACGTGACGTTGGCGGCTCTTTGATGGTGTGTAGCCCTTTACTGCTGCTGTTTTTGAATCATCCGTGCGTTTTATCCAAGGAAAGGAGGATCGGGGGAAAAAGAGACAAGAAATATTTCTTTGCCTGTTTTTTTTTTTTTTTTTTTGCATTCTTTCTTTCTCTTTCTCTCTCTCCTTCTTTTTTTTTTTTTGTTGTTGTTGTTTTCGCTCCTCTCTTTGGTGTCTGGTATTTGTTGCTCTTGGTGTGTGTATGTGTGTGTTCTTCTTGCGAATGTGTCTTTGATGACATATCCAAAGCGAGGGAGAGAAAAAAAAAAAAAAAAAGGAAAGAGAGAGAGCGGGTGGATGCGGATTTGTCCTGCCTTTAGTTTTCTTCTTGCTTCATTTTATTTCCTTGTCCTTTTTACTCACTCGCTCACTTGATAGAGTGTACATGCGTTTGTATGAGGTACAGTGGTGACGCCGGCGGGACTATTTGATTGAGTATGAAAGAAGCGAAAATGGAAGTGCGCAGCAGCAAAGGGTTTCTTCAGTTCTTGCGGAGTACCGAGGACCCGATGATTGTGGACGCGAATTTGCTGCTGTTGCTTCAGGACCTCAGCTCCCCAACAGAGGACGCCATCTCTCTCTCGTCAGCGGGCCTCTTTCACCTGCTGCAAGTTCTTGTGGAGCGCACAAATGACGACTGGCTGGAGGTGAGAAAAAAAATTGCGTTTGTGTTTTCTGACTTGATATCAAAGGGGCACGGCGATGTGTTGGCCGACGCCCTCATTTACGGCAGGCTGGAGAAAACAACTAGTGGCGAGGCTCGAGCCAGCCACATTGACCTTAGGGATAGTTGCGAGGAAAACTCAGACCCTGCAGCAGCACTAAGACAACTGAAGTACTTCATTGGTAAGCTGGCGTTTGCCCACGGCACAGTGGAGCGTTGTGTTCCTGCGGCCGACGTCTTCCGTACGTTTATGCGCGTTCCCAGTTTTTTGGAGATAATCCTCTCGCCCGCGGAGTTGTCAAGTGACACGACGGAAGAAAGGACATCGCCGCATCCTCAACCAAAGCAATATGGGTTTCATGAATCATGTATTGGAATCCTCTGCCGTAGTGTTGCGTCATACACAACCGTCCTCTGCACCGAGACGTGGCGGTCCTTGACGACTGCCCTATACACAAATAAGGGCCTCTCGGCGTCGTTGCTGTTGTATTATTTCAATGAGTTTGTGGCAATGCTGGTGGGATGCCTGTTGGGCAGAAACTTTGTCGCCAAACTACACGCATTGGAGTTGCTTGCCTCTGTTGTTGAGGATCCTGTCTTTCTTAGAGCCAGACGAAAGTTTGCAGAGTCCCCAGCGCTGCTTTGCGCCTTGCTCCCCCTGACAAACAGCTCTTCAGCACACATTCGATTTCTTACGTTTGAAACGCTTAAGGTGTTCATTGCGAAGGGAAACAAGCCTGCGCCTATCCGGCACATTCTTTGCATCAACCGTGACATGCTTGCCCGTTACGTGGAGGATTACTCCACAAAAGAAATTGCAATCAACAAGCGTCTGGAGGTTGAAAAGCAGAAACTGCTGCAGAGTCTCACCTCACTTGAACCGTTGACTCACGAAGAGGAGTTGCTGCTTGGCATTTAGTCGATGATGCCGCGTGTGTCTTCTGGAGAGAAAGAGAGAGTGAGAGCAATTGTGTTTTTACTCGTGTTTGTTTTTTTCGGGGGCCTCGGGTTTTTTTGATGCGGGAGGTTGAAAAACCGCCACCGGCAGCAGCAATGAGGAGGTGGTGGAGGGAAGTGCGGTTGCGCGGGGGATTCTCGTGGATGATGGGTTGCGTGCGGCAGGGAATTAGCCTGCGATTCAGTCACTTTATTTTCTCTTTTTTCTTTTGTTTTTTGTGGTCCTCGCACCCCTAAACCCCTTTTTTTTGTGCCCCTTCGGAACGGACCGAGGCGCGGCTTTGCTTAACTGCCTGTCGGGTCAGTCCGTGAGAAGAAGGAGGAGAAGGAAGAGAAAAAAAAAAAAAAAAAAGAAAAGGAAGGAAGGCCAGTGGGGGAAAAAACAACCGGAGAGAAAGTAGAAAAACAAACAAACACAAACAATACACGCGAGGTTGGAGGGATTTTTTGTTGGCGCAGGCGTCAGGCCGCACCTTCACTCACACTGAAAGACGGAAAACAACAACAGCAATAGAAACGAAGTTATGTCGAGCAGCCCGGCGCCTGCCTGCCCAACGTTTGACCCGCAGCATCTCAACCTCCCTGACGCGGAGCCGGTGGGCTCCGGCGCTGTCTCGCAGGTTGTGCGCAGCAAACTCAACTTTCCCCCATATACGCCCATAGCAGTGAAGATCGTTTCGAAGGTTCAATTGCTTCAGCAAAATAAGACCAACTCAGCGATGAACGAGAAACGGGCCCTTCTGGAGATGGGACCACATCCTTTTATTGTCCGCCTTTTTGGTACGGCGCAGTCAACAGATGAGTTGTACTTTGTAATGGAGCATCTCCCAAATGGGGATCTTCTGGAGCACATACGAACCTGTGCTTCGCGCCAGACAATTGAGGAACTTGGTGCGGAATCCACATCAGATGCTTCTTCGCTGAGGGGGTCATCACTTAAAGACACCGCCATTCGTTGTTTAAACTTTCATGACATTCAGCTCATAACGGCACAAATTGTGATGGGCCTTACGCGCGTCTTCAGGAAAGGTTTTGTCCTCCGTGATCTCAAACCCGAAAATATTGTGTTTGATCACAAGTACCGTGCATGCTTGGTTGACTTTGATACTGTGGATGTGGAAGGGATGTCTTTTCTCCCCAAGTCAAACGGTGGTGTCGCTTTGCCCGGGGGCGTCGCAGACGATAAGAAGTGTAAAGCAAAGCGTCGGTTGACCGTTTCTGCTATACGAGAGATGCGGAAAATGTCGGCCCAGTTTTGCGGCACGGCACAATACGTTTCACCGGAAATGATTGGACAATGTCAGTGGAGTTACAGTAGTGACCTTTGGGCATTGGGGGCGATTGTGTACGAGATGGTGTACGGTGTACACATGTTTGCAGGATGTAATACATATGCAGTGATGAAGCGGGTGCTGGGAGGCGTTCATTCGGGGAATATCCCCTTTCCAAACGTGAATCTGGGGCCAGAGTCTGATGCCCTTGACCGCGTTAAGGACTTTATCTGTAGGCTTTGTCGCATAAATCCAACGGAGCGGCTGGGTGTCCATCCCGTCACCGGACAGTTTGACGAGGAGGCAATTCGGGGGCATCCGTTTTTTGGAGACTTCTCCTGGAGCCTACTAGATGAGCAGGTGCAGCACTACCGAGCTCCTGTTGTTTTGACAACTCCATCGGATTCAGGATCGGTGCGCACACCAGCCGTACAAGGTCCTCTGCACCCGCAATTGCTTGATGATGGCACGGCCTCTCTCAAGTCACGCTACCATGTTCTTCCAGTTCACAGTAGGGAGTATGCTGAGTATGTATTTGAGGCCACTGCTGACGCGAACCCATTTGAACGATGGATGCAGACGAAAGTGGAGGATCCAACCGGCGTATCCGATCAGGAAACAACTAAACACAATGCAAGTTTTGTAGAGGACATGCCAATCGCCACACCCGTTAACGATGGGGACGTTGAAGAAGAGAACTCGGACGAATATTCCGACGTTATAGATGACGTTGGGATGCAGTTTTTTGGTGTGGTTCATCCGGACTTTTTGGACATTGCATAGTGGCATAGTTGCTTGCCTGTTTTTACGATTTCCCCCCCCTTTTTTTTTTTGCTTCTTAAAAAAAAAATTTTTTTTTTTCCCGTTTAGTGAGTCTGCGGCGTGACGATGTCGAGTGAGTTGCTACTGGAATTTGTAATATTCGATTATTATTTTTCCTCCTTTGACCTCCTTTTTTTTTTTTTTTTTTATTTGTGCTCTTATTCCCATGGCAACATTGCTGCGTTGATGTGCTACCACTTTTTTTTTCTGCGTGTGCACTTGGCTTCTTTGTTTCTGTGTTTTTTTTTTTTTTCGTTTTATGTGAGAACCTTCGGGGAGCCTTTTTTTTTTTTAGAGGTAAAAAAAAGTTTTTTTTTTTTTTTTCTTCTTGTTGTTGTAGTCTTCCTGACCTGTACGGCTTACGGCGAACGCAGGCGAATTGTGAGGGAGCGCATAGGGAGGGTGAGCGAGGGGGGATATTGACGTGAGCAGTCATGCTGGAGATCAATGGCCTGGCGCATTTACTCTCCCTCACGAGGGAACAGCCCATTGTTGTGGTCGCCTTCTATGCGGACTGGTGCGGGCCGTGCCAGCGGGTCAAGCCACAGTACGCGGCGCTGGGCGAACGGTACAAATCTACCGTGACTTTCTGCAGATGCAACATTGACCGCAACCCCGACTGCGTCGAGAGGTTTGGCGTGCGGAGCGTCCCTAAATTTATGGTTTGGTCCGGCGGCGGTTGGCACGCGGTTGGTTTTGACGGGCAGTTGGGGGAGCTGGAGAGACACATTGATCGGGCAGTTGAGACGCACCGCACATCATCGGCATCAAACGGGGACCATACGTTGGGTAATCTGCATCGTGTTTTGGCAAGGCAGATGCAATCATTGGCACAGGCCGTTGCTTCCGCGCACGATGAAACCGCAATGGTGCGGGAGGCATGCGAAGCTGTATGCAACACACTTGAACAGGACGCTGAGAGGCGGCCCTTCGGTGCCGCCATGCTGCCATATTTTGCCTCGAATGAATTTAACGCGGCGGCAGTGGATGCTCTTTTTGCACACTTTGCTACAAGGCCTGAACCACGCTGTAGTGATGGTGAATATATTATCAATGGGGCCCTGAGCAACCTCATTGAGTTTTTTCTCTCCACCACACTGGACAACACCAGGGAGTTGAATGTGCTGCGGCAGGCGCTTTACGCTCTTGTTTCCTGCACCGCGACCTTGCAAATTCTTGTGCGCTCACATTTATTTTACAACGACTCACTGTCTTCTGGCCTGCAACTGGAATATGGCACAGTGTTGGGCGCGCTGTTGGGCGTCTCCACCCAAATCCGCAGTCACCGCCTGCTTCCTCCTTATTCCATGTCATCGGAGCGGGCTCAGTTGATGAATATGTTTTCCACTGAGGTGGATGATCATTCAAAACAGATATCTGAATTACAGTTTCAAGTGCAAGCCTCCTGCGCCGGAAACAAACGTATTATCCTGGCGCTTCTGCAAGCCAAGGTGTCACGTGAGCCAACGCTTCGCTATATTGGCACTGCCCTGCGGCTGAATGCAGGGTATACCAAAACAGTGCATCATAATTTGCCCTTATCCTCACGGTTTTTCATGACTCAGTTGAATGATGTGCTCTTGGAGGCTGCCCTTCCTTTATTTGAAAAAGCCTACGACCCCACCACTATTCCTCCCTTTTATGTACTGGAGGACAATGCGGACAACACAGTGGTGGATTTTGGCGAAGATGTGGAGCGCATTGTCCACTACGATGAGAGCCATCCCTTACCTCCATTTCCCGCACTGAGTGAGCCATTCAAGCCTTCGGTGCATCTGTTCTTTCTCGTCGCTCGTTCGATCATGTTGAGCGCGGGAGTAATGATTGAGGCTCATCAGCGGGTTGAACAGGATTTGGCGCATCCACAGTTGCCACCTGAGCAACGCGCAGTGTATGTGGCGGAGAAGTCACTCATCGAGGGGCTGATTGGCTCCGAGAATCTCGGCCGAAAACGTGTGCAGGTTCTTAACGGCATCGCCGCTTGGCTTGTGAGGCTCATGAATGTCTCACCGGGCGGGGTACTCTCAAAGGAGCCGCCAGTGGAATGGAAATATTTGCCCCAGCAACTGGTGGATCTGGTCATCCTGGGCGTAAAAATGGCGCCGCTGGAATACTTTGATCTGGAGCACATTGTTTCCTTGATGCTGGTACTGATGGGTAACACAACCTATTTCCCCAAGCCACATAAACACGCTCTTTTTCCATCTTTCTTAACCCGTCTGCTGCAAAATGAGGAGACGAAACGAGCCCTGACATCGCATCGATGGTTCACGCAGCACATTGTTCGAAGTTGTGTTTTATGTTATATTGCCGTGGAGAAGTCTACATACGAAAAAGTCTCTGTGCGTTATATGCTCTCTTACTGTACAAAGTCGTTTCTTATGTTTGACTCGTTGTGTCAGCCTGTCCGTGAGGAGTTTGAGGTGAATGGCACCATTTTGGAACGGTTTTCACACATGGTGACTGCGGATGTCAACGAGGCTGTTGACCAACTCGTTGAGACGCTTACGCAGATGAATCGAATGGTAAAGGAGGGGGCGGATTTGAGTGTGAGCGCCCGTGCGTCTCTCAGCAACAACGGTGAAAACAGTCGCAGGGGCAACGCACAGAGAAGACAAGATGGAATGGCGACGAGCAACAACAATAACAATAACAGTCAGAACAACAATTTTCGGAGCGCAGATGGAAACGTAAACGAGGAGGAGGCGGAGGCCGACGGTGATGACGGTGAGGCGCCGCTGACGTACCATCAGCTGGGCTTGGGGCTGCGGGAACGAATTCTTCTTTTTGAGGCAAGCATGAATTTGTTTATTCAGCTGGCCATCAGCTTCTCGAAAGGTGTGGCGCAGAACATGGTGGCGCAGCAGATCAGTCAGATGTTGGCTCGCAGCCTCGTTAGTTTTGCTGGTGCCGAGAGCAAAAACTTGAAGATTGAGTACCCCGAACGCTACAACTTTCGCCCTCGCGAGATTCTCAACCGCCTGGTGGATTGTTTGTCACAATTTCGACGTTTTCAGAACTTCATGCGCTCCCTGTGCAACTGCGGCGTCCCGCTGAGAGAAATTCTACAGGCGATAGAAACGGTGACGGAGCGTGGCCTGGTGGGCGAGCACCTCATCTGGAAGCTGAGGGAAATTGCGTCGACTCTCGAGACCATCTCTCAAGAAGTTCAGGACGACGAGGCGCTGTGGGATGAGGCGCCGGACTTTGCGGTGGACGCATTGCTGCTGACGCCACTACTACATCCAGTGGCGCTTCCAGCCGACGTGAAGGACCTGAACGATCTTGTGTATGTGAACGAGGACACAATCCATCATGTCCTTCTCTCTGAGAGCAAGCATCCCTTCACGAAGGAATATCTGGACGAGAACATGGTGAAGGAGTTTAACGCACGGGAGGATGTCGCGGAGGCTCGAAGGAATCTGCAGGATCGCATTGCGACGTGGATGAAGGCGGCGAAGGAGAAACGCTAGGATGGAATGTTTTTTGTCTGCGGTTTCTTTTTTTTTTTTTTTGGTTGGCATGGCCAATTGACTTTACAAGCGGATCTATAATTTGATGTGAACGTGGCTTTTTCCACTTTTTTTGTTCCTGGAGGCAGGGGTGCTGCTGTCGATTATTATTTTTTCTTTCTCTCGTGCCCCCAAGCCCGGGCTACACGCATATGTAGGCATCAGGAGACATGATGATGTGGTGGTGTTGAGCGGGGGATGAGAGCAGCCGTCTTTTTTTGTTTTTTTTTCTCCGTTTCTTTTTCTTTTCGTGTTTGCTGCTTGGACCATCTTCATTGAAGCGCAAACAGCAGCCAACTCTCGAGAGGAAAATAACAGTCAAGGAAGGAAAAGAAAAGAAGAACAATTCAACAACAAAACAAAACAAAACAACAGAAAGAAGGAAAGAAAGCACGAGTAGCGAATGGAGCAGTGAGAGGATTTTACTTAAAAAAATGCCTTTTTTTTTTTTTTTTCTTTTCTATGAGCCGAAATGTGACCGCCTCCCACCTTTCCGTTTCTTTGTGTCAACATGTTTGTCTGTCTGTGCATGTGCTTTGTTGTCATTATCCCCCTCACTTTTTTGCCGCCCCCACCTTTTTTTTTTATTTTTGTTTTTTTGACGCGTGTAGCCTTTGTTCCCCACCCGTCGCCCACAGTCTTGGAAGGGAAAAAAGACTAAAAGAAAAGGAAAGGCGTCCGGAATTTTTCTTTTTTCTTCTTTTTGTCTCTGGAGGGGGAAGCGTCTTTCTCTTTATTTCATGTTTTTTGTGGACCGTTGTTGGCTTGGGCGATGGGGCCATCGCGACTTCTTGCGTGGGCGAACCAAACGCGCTGGGGCAATTCATACCCGTCACACACACGGCAGCCAAGGACGGTACAAGCGTCTGTCGGATAACTTTGGTTTGCGTGACGGTCGCCGGCACGCGTGGAATCATATGAAGGGTGGTCTGGGCGTCAAGCTGGGCGGTGGACTGTTTGGTCTGCGCATTCCGCGTCAGCACGCTCTCTCCAGCATGTCGCGGGAGGAGTACGAGGTTGCCATCCACGGCCATCCTAACATCACAAATCCCTATCGACATTGCATGTACGAGCACCCGGACTTGAAGGGTGTGATGCGAAATGCGTCTCTGGATGTACATGTGGTGCTGCTTATGCCCCGAGTACCGCGTGTCACTACGACTGCTGTGGCGGAGGAAGTACCTCCGTTATGGGATGAGTTGCTTCATCATTTGGGCGAGAACATCCGGACGGAGTGTTGGTCGTCGGGTCACAGCGACAGTAGTGGTAGTAGTAGTAGCGTTAAGACTTATTTTGCAACGTTGTCTTCCTCCGTTTTGTGTCGTGATGCAACACACGATGCATTGCGCGGTGCTGCGGCATCTCTTTTTAAGGATCTCATGAGGGGTGCGAAACTTCGTCCACCATCTTTTGAGGTTTTGGGAAGAAGACACGAAACGAGACGCATACCATTACTTGGCGCTTCCTTTTCGAAGTCTGCGGTGCTTCCAACGAGGACCGGCGCCGCGGTAACGTCTTCCACATTGCTGTTGCGCATGAGACAAGGAGAATTGCCCCGGAATGCTTCACATGATTGGGAGAAGAGAGGGCTTGTGTGCTGTTCAGTGAGCCCGTCCATGCCTGTTGCTGTGACCTCCTCCAGCGGTGTTGTCCAGCGTGGAGTGCAACAGCTTCTGCGGGATCTGCGACAGTCATGTCCCCATGCCCTAAATTTGTGTATTCGTCTGGAGGAATTTCTACCCGCAGGGGATGAGGAGGCCGAGGGGCATGTGGCAAAGGCGACACCGGCAACTTCCCCTCGGAAATTGCTGCGGGAGGAAATGGACCCAGACGAGGTCGGCGTGTGGAAGAGACCTGCAGCGACGGTTGATGCCCTCATGCGATGGCAATATTTTAACTGGGATCCTCGTGCACACAGCAAGGATGAATTGCCGCACCACAGAAGGTGTCAGTCTGTGCACATCTTCGTGGACGCCTCGAGGGTAAAAGGGAAGAAGGCTTCTTCCACGACGGATTTAGCCGGCACTCGACGCCACTCCGCAGCGCGCTCGTTGATGCCTCCACGGTTTTCGGAGAAGTTAGAGGAGATGAACTTTAAGCGTGTGAGTCACGGGGGCCTTGCAGAGACGTTTGCGGCGCTGCGGAGGTGGTCGGTGGATTCTCACTGGCATGCCATCGAAGGGCGGAGAAGAACACTTGCGGGAGAAGCGAAGAAACATTCCCATTTGCACTGATACTCAGTCACTTGGAAAAAAAAAGACAAGGGAATAACGGTGATCCGAATTTATTTCATGTGACTGTCAGGCGACGCATTGATTGGGGCGGAGCGGAATAGAGGAAGGCAGGAGGATATACATTCATGTTGATTTATACATCAAAATGTGCGGATCTGTGGCTGATTGATGACTCTCTGCGCCGTGCCAGTGCCGGTTTGTTTCACACGGTGACGGTCTAAAAAATTTTTTTTATCTTTATTTTTTATTTTCATTTTTTGCTTTAACTGTCTTGTTTTGCTTTCAGGAAGAATTGCACGCATAATTGAAGGGAATTGTGTGGGTGTGGGTTCTCGGCGAGGTCGAGACACCAGTCAGAGGTTGCTCTGGAGAGATAAGGGTTTTTAGTCGCTGGCTGGGGGCGTGAGTGCCGATTGGGAGGCGCTGCGCAATGTACAGTGGTACTTTTTGCGGGACGTTGGGACGCACTCTTTCATTACTGCCGCAGCGGTGGTGGTGTGTGACTCCGCATAGCAGCTTGCATGTGGCTGTGCGGCTTGTGAGCAGCTCGGGCATTCCGATTGCAAATTACTACAAGCGCCTCGGCGTCGACTGCGCGGCAACGGCGGAGGAGATGAAGGCCGCGTACCGGCGCCGCGCACTGGAATGCCACCCTGATGTGGTGAGCGACGATCAAAAGGCACGGGCGGAAATGGAGTTTCGCGCCATTTCTGAGGCATACGACGTGCTGATGGATCCTCAAAAGCGTTCAGAGCATGACAAGGCCCTTGGACTGGATCGGGTGGCTCCGCAAAAAACAACGGCAGAGAGGCGAGGCTCGGCGGCAGCAGAAGCGTCGACTTCCTCCAGAGCTTCTTCGACGCGTCGTCGGAAGCCGTTTGTGCGCGGTGATGCGGAACGCAAGTTTCGTGAAGCGTTTCATGGCATGTCTATTGATCAGGTCATATTTCAGGAGCGATTGCGGCAGCGTCGGGAAGGTAAAAAGCAGCATGGGGAGGCGGCGTCTCCTTCTTCTCGCGAGGAGTCGTTTCGGCGTGTTCTGGTGGATGCCGCGGAGCGATCTCTGAAAAGGTGCGGCGGCAGTACGGTCCCAGTATGTTGCGGCACGTGAAGTTGCAGTCGGTGCCACCTAGTGGCCCGCAGCCGCCGCCCTCTGATTACATGCCATTTCGCCCGTTTTATGGCTGGTTTGCGCCAGCGGGCGTCCGCACTGTGCCCGAGCCAAGGATGGGCCCTACATCACACGTAAATGAGGAAAATGTGGAGTTCGAGGGGCCATCGACACCTACGCGGGGTGATCTGCCGAAACATTTCCCGACCGTGAGAGCGTTAGATGGCTCTGTCATGAGTCGGGCCGATGCGATGCGGCACCTTGAGAGAGAACGAAATGCGCCGTATAATATGGGGAAACTGTACTCGTACCACCGACCATATTGACATGTGTCATCATTCCTTATTCCCGTGTTTAAAGTGGACAATCTGGGTCTGTGTGCTCTGGTGTTGGTGGGAGACGAGTCGCGTATCCTCTGAGAGAAATACGCAGATTCATTCCTATTGTGTTTGCGTGGTTGGAGAGAATTACATGAATTTAGTTTAAAAAAGCGTCTAAGTCTGTTTTTTTTTTTTTTTTTTTGTGTGTGTGTCTGTTGTTGTTGTTGTTGGACCATTTTTTCCTTTTTTTTTTTTTTACGTCTTTAGGACTCCACCCCATCCGCTTACGAGCAAACCGAAGGGCAGATTCATACACGCGACTTGAGTCGATACACGACTTAAAATCAACAAGGGGAAACAAAAACATAGGAATAAAATTGTACAACGAATACGCAAACAATGCGCCGTCATGCTTTGAAACGTGTCATGATGTCTGTCCCGGCTGCATCGGCCATCGCCGCGCCAAACCGAGGCATTTTCACGGTATGGGGGTCTGTTCCACTTGAGGCCTGGGCGTCGCAGGAGCCCTGGCTAACGCGCATGAGCAGCATGTCAAAGTATCGTAGCTTTGAGTTTTTTCATGTGCCGGAGGTTGAGGCCCCGGAGGGCGTTCAACTCTCTGCGGTGGAGAAGTACCTGCTCAGTTGCGTGGAGGACGACACCAACCGTCTGCTGAATTTATCCTGGACGTATGGTTTTGACCCCTTCTGGAGCGACCGCGTGTACTCCCATGACGTCCTCTTTCAGATTTTGTATCAGCACAACTACCCTATCTACAAGTTCTTCTTTGGCGACTGCTCGAGCAACGAGGAAGGACGAAAATATATTGAGAAGAAACTGAATTATCTTAAGTCCGTGTTGCAATGGGCAGTGATGACGGAGAGGTGCTACACGACCATTGCGAAGGCCAGATTCACGCTGCAGCGTGAGGTCTGGAATTCTTTGGAGCGTGAGCGGTACTTAATGGGATGCGTGGAGGCCCTGGAAGAATTCAAGAAGGAGGTGCCGAGGGAGTTTGCCGAGAAGGCCATTGGGGAACTTGAAACCGAACTCAGCTCCGTGCGGCACTGGGTGTGGGACTGCCCCAATGCGAAGCGATTATACAAACAACTGTCATGAGCGAGGACTGGAGGGACTGGGTGGGTGGTGTGTTGCAATTTTGCGCAGGGAGGAGGAGGGGGAGAGCAGCATACACGCAAAAATGTAGTATTTTAAAAATAATGAGTGGAGGGCAGAAAAGGAAAAGGAAAAAGAAAAGAAAGGTGAGGGGAAAAAAGAAATGTAAAGAGAGTCACGTATGAGTGGTGAGGGGGAATGTGGTGTCGCGGTGTAGAAATTTACGTGTGCGGTCATGAAGAGCGTATTTTTTTCTTATGTGTTCCCCCCTCCTCTTTTTTTTTTTTTTGCTCTCTTTCCTGCACGCCTTTTTTTTTCTTCTTTTCGAAGAGGTAGGCAAGCGGAGCCAGCACCATCGCATCGGTGGCGGCTGGGGTTGTGACTGCCGTTTTTTGACTTCTTGACAGCACCGTGGCGTTTTTTTTTCTTTTCCTTCTTTTTTTCCCCCCATGCACAAGCAGGCAGGCAGAGAAGACACAGATGAGAGGTGAATTATCTCGTTGTATACGGGCAATTGCGGCGCGCAGCTGCCCAAAAATTCTTTCTCCCCAGTCTGGTGTGGGTACCTCGCCTGCTGGTGGAGCTGCATCGCTTGTTTGCTTACAAGAGGGGGAAGGCATGATGTCTTTTGGTCTCTCATGTGCACATCGCTTCTTCTTTTGCCAAAAGAGGGGACGTGGCGCTGCTGTTGCTTCCACTTCAATTGCGGGTGTTCGCCGTTGGTTCTGCGGCCAAATGCCGAGTCTGGCGGTTGGTGCTGTGGGTTGTGCTGCGCTCCGTCTGCAGTGCTGTTGCTCGCACATTAGCTCCTTCAAGCAGGAGGGATATTACCGCTTTGCACAGCTGCGCGACATACAAATAGATGCAAACTGCTACAGTTTTCTCATGGTGCGTGGCGGTGGGCCTGGGGGTCAGGGGGCAAACAGCAGCAGCAACAAGGTGGAGCTGCGTGCCAGCATCGTTGCCCTTAGCGAACACTTTGACGGGGAGCTCATTCAAAGACTGAAGGAAAACGAGCGTGGCAAGGCGCTTACCGCGGACGAAGCGCTGATCGTCATTTCAAGCCATGAGCAACGCAGTGCACATCAGAACAAGGAGGTCTGTCTGCGGCGTCTGCGGGAAATGATTCAAAGGGCCTCATGGGTGCCGCCGTTGGAGAAGAAACCCATCGAGCGCCCCACGACGATCATAACGGCGCAGAAGGCGGAGCGGCGAAAGAAGGGCTCGATGAGGAAGATGCAAAGAACAGCACGTAAGGGCCTCTGGTGATGGATGGAGGTTGCACGCCATTCAATTCCTTCTTTTTTTATTTTTATTCATCTTCTTATTTTGTCATCAGTGCACTTTTCATTGTATCTTTTATTTCTTTGGGTTTATTATTATTATTTTCTTCTTCTTTTTTTTTTTTTTTACTCCCGCCACCCGTGGCGGGCTCAACAGCGGAAAGGAGACTTGCGATCCATTGAGTGTAAGAGGCGGCTGCGCATTCATCCGTTGCTGGGGGGTTGTGGGGAGATGCTGAGGCGGTTCTCGCGATGTCTTGCGCCGCGTGCAAAGCACCACGATGAGTTGGTGAAGATGTGGAGGGAAAGCCCGCGGGGGGTGGACAAGGCCAGTGAGGAGAGCGGACTGCGGTTCCGCGACACCCGACCAACCCCGCAGAATGAACCCGATGATGCAAAGCGTCGTCGTCTCATCTACCAATCCGCGTACCGCGGCATGGCGGAGATGGATATCATTCTGGGCGCGTTCTCCCGCCACAGTCTTGAGGGCATGCCACGCGAGCAGCTGGACGAGTATGACACGATTCTCCGACACTTTGATAGCGATTTGTTCAAGTGGCTTGTGATGAACGAGAAGCCGCCTGCATCCGTGGCAGGTATGTCAACATACAAAGTACTGCAAGAGTTCGTGAAGGGTGGGCGGGAAAGGCTGCTAGGCCAGGCTGTGTAGCAAACTTTGTCCGCTGCACGTATGGAAATATGATGCCCGAAAGGAGTCCACAGTGAAATAAGACAAAAAAAAGAAAAAAAAAAGAAAAAAGGCAAAAAAAAAAATGACAGAAATAAACGAAAAAAAAAAAAAAAAGACGTCTGTGACAGTTTCAACGTGTGAGGGAGCGAAGTTGCGTGTGGCTTGCGTGTGGGAGGGGAGCGGCGGTTTTTTGACCTCTTTTTTGGTTTTTGACCCTTTCACGCGTAATGCTGACGCTGCGTTGACTACGAGCACTGCGGTTTGATGCCGCAGCGGATTGTTGTTGCCTTCTCTTTTGTGGCCACCCTTTTTTTTTTCTCTTTCTCATTTGCCTTTTTTTAATTTTTATTGGTTTCTTTTGCTTGTTGTGTCTGTTGTGGATTCCGTCATTTGTATGTGATTTCCCTTTCCAACACATGTCTTTTTCTTTGGTATGTTCGCTCTTTGCGTGTCCGCAGTGCACATCTTTGAAATGGGCGCATCTTTGATTCAATATTTTTATTTTTTTTCTCCATCTTTTTTTTTTTGTTGTTGTTGTCATGTGAATGCATGCTACACATTCACCACAAGGAGTGGGGGAAAAATGGCACCCAACATCATGGATGACTTGTCAGTCTACGGGAACGGCCGCAGGAAGAAGCCTCCTTTCAGCTACACACCGAATCTGGTGTGTCTGCCAAATCACATTGTATCAAAGCATGTGAGTATGTGCATGGATGAGGAGACGACCGAGTGGCTGAGGCTCGCAGGTGATGTGAGTGTAATGAAGGCGTTACTGTCCGGTATTTTGCGCGCCTTTTTTTCCCAAACAACATCCAACGGTATACTGAACCGCGGCGGCATGTTTGTCATGTCTACGGCACAGGCTGCGCAGCTGCTGTTGGGCAACGAGGATGACCAGCGCAGCTCAAAGTCACCGCCGTTTGGGACACTTTTGGATATCGGCGCCGGTGATGGCGGCGTCACATCACGGCTGCAGCCACTGTTCCAGCACGTAGCAGTCACCGAATATTCGATTCCCATGCGATGGCGTCTGTGGCAGCGTGGCTACGAGGTGCTTCCTTACCAAGATCCGTTTAGGCACAAGGATGGCTCTCGGCGGTACTACGATGTAATTGCATGCCTCAATGTCTTGGATCGCGCCGATAAGCCACTTGAGCTGCTTCGCTCTATGCGTGACTCGCTGTCGCCCAATGGAATACTTCTTCTTGCGGTTGTTTTGCCGTGGTGCCCCTTTGTCGAGAATGGAATCAGGCAGCGACGCCCTACGGAGACGCTGCCAATGGAGGGAGGCGAATGCTGTCGAGGCGCAAGTTACGAGGATTCTCTTCAACGTCTTGTGGATAATGTCTTAATTCCCTGTGGATTTAAAGTAGATCGCTGGTGCAAGTTGCCGTACTTCTGCGAGGGCAATCTCAGGGTGGAGTACGCGGTTCTTCATGATGCGGTCTTTGTCCTTACAAGGAGTGAAGGGGACGCATTCTCCACGGAAAAAGAACACGAGCACAAAGAAGGAATAGATGCATGAATGAAGGCTGGAGAAACGGAGGTTGCATGTATCCCAGACGTTGTTTAATATCGAACCGCGACATGGTTTTTTTTTCCTTCAAGCTTTTTTTATTCTTATGTTTTTTTTTTTTTTTTTTTAAGTCTACCCTACTATTCAAGGCTGTCTTTTTGCAAAAGGGACCAGAAATGGCACAAGAGGAGGGGGTGTTTTTATTATTATGCATGTTTCTCTCCCCTCACCCCACTCTTTCTTTTTGCAAAAAACAAAAACGAAAAGAAAAACAACAACAGAAACTTTGACGGGACCACACAAAGGCGTTTGTATTTATTTATTCATTTATTTTTCTTTGTGTTGTTGGTGTTGTTTTTGTAACTGTCTGAGCAATGACTGCCTTCTCTTCTCGTTTTCTGTGTGTGTCCACCGTTGTTCTTGACTGGTTGTCCAAATGGTGCAGATTCTTCAGGTTTTTTTTTTTTTTCTTAAGGGCTTGTAGGGATGAGTGGGCCACTGCAGAAACCCGGGGGTTTTATTCCACGACCGCCAGGGATGCCGCCGCTGCCACCCGGCTTTAAAATACCGCCGGGCATGACGCCACCGTCCGCGCCGCCCATGCCGCCAGGAATGGCTTCCATGCCACCTAACTTGCGTGTGGGGGCGCCGCCACAGCCAAGAATACAGGTTGGGAATGACGGCTCTGCTGGTGGCGCGCCGCCCGTGCCGATGCCTCCCGGTGGATACACCATGCCCCCAGGTCGTTACCCACAGCCACCTGCTCACTTGGTTCCAAGACCGCGGGGGGACGTGGAACACGGATTTCAGAATCATCAGCAATTGCTGCCACCTGGTCTCGTGCGTAACCCAAATGAGATGTATGCGGCAAGAGATGACCACGCCCCGGTGTTGTTGCCCGGTGCTGATCCGCATGGGTATCCGGCATCATCCTACCCTCAAGGGCCGTATGGAGGGGCTGTGGGACCTGAGGCTGGGGATCATCGGGGTGGGCACCTTTACAGGGGCCGACGAGAGGATGAATTACGAGAACCAACCAACACCGTCTGGGTAGGAAATCTTGATTTGCACGAGCATACTGAGGAAGTCTTGAGAAGCGAATTTTCTGAATTTGGAAGGGTCATACGTATTGCAAGGGTTCCGGATAAGAGTTATTGTTTTGTGCACTTTCGTTATGTTGAGGAGGCTCGGAACGCTGTGGAGGCACTCAGTGCACGAGGCTCTTTGGGCAGAGCGCGATTCAACTATGGAAAAATGTTTGAGTATACACAGGAGGAGTTGGAGATGCCCAGAGATGTCACCGGTCACAGGCCTTCTCGCCGAGGACGTGAAGAGGATCGACATGATAACGATGATAGGCGGCGTCGATCCCGCCGGGAGGAAGAACGCATGGAACCCACAAACGTTTTGTGGCTGGGCGATTTGCCTCCTACCGTCTCTAATGAAGAGTTAAATGAGAACTTTAAGGTGTTTGGTAAAATTAAGACCATTTCACGCTTGGATAGCAGGAACATGGCATTTATCCACTTTGAAACCATTGAGGATTGCACACAGGCTTTGGACTTGATGCGGGATCAGCCTATTGGCGGAGCGCGGGTGGTATTAAACTACGGTCGGGCGCAGCGTAACCCAACCTCCACGGAGACAGGCTTGACACCAGATGGCATTCCAGTCAATGAAACTCCCACCAATGTGGTATACCTTGGACAGTTAGCTTCCGATGTGACGGAGGGGGATGTCGAGGATTTATTTGAGCCTTTTGAAGGGTTCATTAATTCTAAGTTTATCCAATCTAGCGGTATTGCCTTTGGGCACTTTGATAGCATCGAGCATGCACGCGCGGCCCGCATAGCACTTAACAATGCACTTCTGAGGGGCGCCCCGTTGCGCATTAGTTTTGGGAAGAGCAACCACACCATGACGATGGCGGATAGGATGCGGCGAGGGAAGCCGGCTCCGCTCGGTAATGATGATTCGAATGGCGATTTCACTGCGATGCCGCCACCGGCTCTTGGGCTTGGCGGTGTGATGGGGGCACTTGTGGCAGGCCCGGGGGCTCCCGCAGCTGACGCCGGAGCGATGGTGTCGCTACCCACCATGGGCGTCATGGTGGGCTCGCAGGCAGCCCCGCCACCGCCGACCTTTTTCACGCGGGAACGTCCCACACCAGAGATGACGCTTGACGCCCGCCTTCAATCACTTCTTGGCGCCACGTATAACAACTGCGGTGAGGCGGACAAGTCGGTGAGCCCCAGTGTTATTCAAGCCATTTGTGACCTCGTTGATGGCTGCGTGGATGAGCAGAGCATGAAGCGGCTCGATGACACCATTTTTCTCTACACACCCCTCAATTCCTCTCATGTCTTTGGTATATTGGCGAAGCGCATACATGACTATTTTAACGATGATCCGCACAAGAAGCTTCTTGTTCTGTACGCCGCCACTCGGGCTCTGCTCGGTGCCAAAACGGATTATCTTCTGTTCACCAAGGCGGCCCTCAATGCGTACCTCATGATGCTTTTTGTTGCCAGCGAGGGGCAAACACCGGGCGGGATGGAGATGCTCACGTCCATCATTGAGAACGTTCACAGAAATCCCTTCATTGAGCGACAGAGGCTGGATGCGGAGTTCATTGAGGTCTTTCGGGAGCAGCTGGACGAGATCCACCGTCGTGCGAAGGTGGAGCAGGACTTAGCCTCGCTGCTTACGAAGAAGAGGCGCAGGTGACACGAGGACTGGAGAAACCAAAGGAGAGGGGAAATGAGAGAATAATCTGGTAGAAACGAAAAGAAAAAAAGAATAGTAATAAAAAAAGCGAAATGGAAGCACGCAAAGAAAAGGAATTTGGGAGGGGGTCTTCTCAGTGAAGCAAAACTGCGTATTTCCCGGAGGAGGTGTGTTTGTGTGTCTGTGGGGGGAGGCGACGGTGTGGCTGTTGAAATCCTCGTTTTTTTCTTTTATTATTATCCCTTTTTGCCAGCGGTCCGCGTCTGTGCTTTTAAAACAGCGGGGGGGGGGGGCATTATTCTGGTGTCAAAGTCACGGCAAGGGAGCGGCCAGGCAGCATGCACACAGAGCCACCCGTGGCTTTCTCAGTGGATCATTTGGGCAAATACCCAAAGAGGAAATTAAAGAAAAACAAAAACAAAAAAAAAGAAAATAAAACAAAATGACAAAAAAAAAAAAAAAAAAAAAGGAAAAGAAAAAAATAGAAGAGGGAAATAAAGAGGGTTAGTAAAGAAGGAGGAAATCAACAAATTTGAAAACAATATATTTGGTCTGAAGCATGTGAGAGAAGAGTCAGCGCGTACATATATACACGAACACAGTCACGTGTATAAAACAACCGGATTTAATTTCTTTTTAGCAAGAAATTAAACCCTGTTGGAGTTCTCTTTTAACGTCTGTTCTTATGTGTTCTATTTTTTTTTCTTCTTCTTTTTTTTTTCTTCTGTTTCTGTATCTAATTTATTTTTAGTCTTTATGGCTCACACTTGGGGGGCATGCATGCGTATATGATATTAATCTGTGCTTATGTTGCCCTGGTCCCCACTTTTACCTTTCATTCACAACGAACTAAAAAAAAACAAAAAAAAAAAAACAAAAAGTGACAAGGCAGGAATTTTTGACCTTCTCTTTATCTTTTGATGCTTATCCACTGTAGGAAGTGAGCGGTGCATTAGGACATGTAGACTGACATCTGGTGGTTTCTTTGCCCTTTTTTCCACACATTTATAAACACCTTCCCACTACCTTCTCATAATTGCCAATCTATGACCCTGTTCATTGCTGTTGCTGCTACTAATTACTGTTTCTGGATACCTTCTCCAGGGGCGTGGGGTTGAAAACGCTCCGATGTTTTCTCACAGGCTCCGCAAATGATGGAAGAATTACGTGGGTGTGTGGTTGATCTTTCGTTATTTTGGCATTTGTGTTTTGGCTGGCGATGCTTCTGGTAATGAAGTGGATAATTGTCGCCTGGTTTTTTTTGTGCGCGCTCATTATCAGAAAGCCGATGTTCTTCCGTTTGCTCACTCACTCACTCACTCACTCACTCGCTCTCCCTCCCTCTATTCTCCACCGTCGCTAGCATGGAATGCGCCTGATTCTTTCTGCCACACTCAACCAAGCGTCGTTTTGTCTCATGTGCGTGTGTGTGTGTGTGCCTTTTTTTTTTTTTACTTAATTACTTCTTTTTTTTTTTTTTTTTTTACGCGTCCAGGGCAGATTAAGCGACGGCAAATAACAGGGGACCGCGGCCACGGGGAACGTAGCGAGTGTCACTAAATGGGCCACGGCCGATGTACTGCTGTTGTGCTGCTTTACTGCGCCGTAGTATCTGTTTTTTTGGCGTCTTTAGTACTGGCGGGGGATGACGGATTGAGTACGGCATCGAACATGCCGCTGTTTGAGCAGGTTATCGTACAGCCCTTTACAGTTAGTGTTATATCCGGGAGGTATGGGGTGTTTAACGCAACCCTCGCCTTAAGGGCCTCACCGATCTTTCCTGAACACATACACGGGGAGTTAATCCCCATTGGTGAGCAGCGCAGGGGAAGTGCGGAGCAATTGTCGCTGGAGCATTTCAAATACCCGCGCCCGATGGAAGGGGAGATGACGACGCCTGGAATGCTGGAGGCACACCCATCTCTGCTGAGGATTGATGTTCAGCTGCGGTTTTCAGGCTCAACCAGTGGGACTGTCACTGCTTGGGCTCTGCCAGCTGTCGTGGGAGTTCTTGAGCGGGGCCTGTCTCAAGTGGAGGAAACTGACGCAACTCCGACAGCCCAGGCATCCTTCTTATTTGTTTCCGAGTCGAAGAGCATGTCACCTTCCACACTCAGTGATGTTCCGTCGATGGCACGCACAGCGACGGGGAGCATCGCGTTGGAGGGAGGACGATCCGGCAGTTTCACGTTCCGCTTCTTCTCAGAACACGAATTCTCTCTTAATTTGCAGCTCCGTACCGAAGACAATACGGCGGATCGCATTTGGGTCTACGGCTACGTCCCCCCTGACAACACATTGCTCTCACGTCCGGACAGGAACCAAAAGGCGTGGTGGCAGAACCGTGGTATATGGGTATTTGCCATCACAACCTTCATAATGCGTGCTGTTATGGCATATTTCGAAACCAGACGCGCGGTGAATTTGCGGAGGAAGCGGACTGCAGCGGCAGCCGTGGAAAAGAAAAAAATCAAGTGAATTTGAACGATGGTGATAAAAAAAAAAGAAATTCCTGCTTTCCTTTTGAGATGCTTGGGATGTAGGATGTGTTTTAGAAGTGATTTTTTTTTTTTGTAAGCATACTTCGGTGAGAGCTACATTTTGGTACTGTTTGAGGAGGAAGCCAGAATAAACACAAATAAAACTAAATTAACGGATGAATGCATCATCTGGTTTCTTGTATGTGCGTCTTTTTTGTTTGTTTATTTGTTTGTGTGTTTTTTTTTTTCCGCGACTTGGCCGAATTTTTTCTCTCAGTTTTGCATGGAGTGGGCAGCTCATTTGACCCTGAAGGGTTTTTGCTGCGCCACTTACACCAGCGACACGCTGCGGCGAGCCGCTTTTTTTAAATGTATTTCTTTATTCCGCTGATTTTACCGCGATTGTTTGTTATTTTGCATTCTTTCCTCTTGTTGGCATGCGGGCGGGAAAGCAGAAGAGAGGGAGTGGGAGGGGAAACAATCAAACAATCAAACAAAAAATAAAAAAGGGACTTGAAGAGCGAGGGGCGTAACACGCGTTTCATTGCACTCTGTGAGTGGAATGTTCAACTCCACTGGCAACAGTTCTCTCTCTTTGCAGCGCACTACCGCCGCCAGTGATACCGATGCGAGATTCATCGTTTTAATAGTGAGGGATTTGGCAACGTACTTGTGCCGCTCAGGCGAGACTCACCCTTTCTTTGAGGACGGCCCGATACCTGCAGAAGTGTTGGGGTATACCCCCGCATCGTCCTCATCATTGCCTGAAACAGTTGCTTCATCCAAGCAGAAGGCGGCGCTGCAGCTTGTCTCCAGGCTTCGAGATCATGTGTTGAACCGGAATATAGTCGTTATTTTCCCTATACAGACCTCCTCCGAATACCGAGAAAGGCTTTTGATGTTTCTGTTTGAGAAACTGGGGGTGCGAACAATCATAGCGCTGTCAGACGTCGTGGCGGACACGTTTGCGGTGGGACTGCGGGACTCACTTGTCTTTCACGCGTCTCTCAGGGCGCTTTCTGTCAGTCGCGTGGAGTCCGGCGTCTCGGTGAAGTATGCGGCGTCTGCTTCTGGGTCACTGCTTCACCTTTTGAAGCCCCACACGACGGGGACTGGGGAATTATGTGGTGAGGAGAACTTTGCAAAAAAGAATGCGGGTGCTTTTGACGATACAAAGGAGGGAGACAATTGGAAGGAAGACGGAGCTTCCGCAGAAAAGGGAGATGGGAATGACGTATCATCTCTTCTGCCGCGTCTGTCGGTAAATGGCTCTTCTTTCTTTGCGGCGGCTGTGAATTTATTGGATGAGACGTATCGCAAAGCGCTTGTCGCGTTCTTTGGAGGGGAGGTGTACCAACGCGTCGTGTCACTGCATGAACATGGGGGAGTGGGGACGAAGCGCAGGCGTAACGGCAGCCAGGAGGATGTGCAGTCAACTGACAAAAGAGCGAACGGCTATCCTCAGGACGAAGGCGGGGGTGCATTGCGGCGTCTCATTGCTGCCGTCGCGGGTGATACGTCTTTGCCTGTGATTGTGACGGGAGAAGCGCTACGCGTTGCGCCACTACTTCGCAAATTCCTTGAGGAGGCTGTGCGTGAGTGCAGCGGCAAAACCGCAGCAACGGGCACCTCATCTTCATCGTCATCTTTTTCATCGGAATCCCTTGAAACATTTTCATCTTCTACGACTAACGGGAGTAATTCTTCTGAATCTTCTTCTTTTGAGGCTGGCGTTTCTTTCCAACTTCAACCTTTGCCGCTGGAGGACTCTCCATGGATGTTATCCCTCTTGGGCGGTTCATTGGTCTCACAGCTGTCTTTGGCGGAGCTTAGTAAACTGCGTATCTCACGAGATGATGCACTTTCGTCTAAAGGCAGCATCATTCATTGGCGTTCGGTGCTGTGATGGATGGCACTGAGGACGGGGGAGCTGAGAGGCGGTGCGGCGTGCCCGTATTTGTTGGTCCGTCTGTAAATATTTCTTTTTCTTCCACCCCTTTTTTTTTTTTCTCTCTCTCTCTCTGTGTGTGTGTGTGTGAGCGGTGGAATTTTTGAAATGATTGTTTGTGAGGCCATTTTTAAAATTTATTTTTTACATTAAAAAAAAAAAATTGTCATTACTTTGCTTCCTTTTGAGTTACACCTTTTTTAATCCCTCCCACTTGATGGGAATGGGTGGAATTATGTAGACAAGAAGAAAGCGGCAGGGAGTGGGGGCCTTCATTGTCTGTTTGTGCATGTGATGTTTTGGCGGGGATGGTCTGGAAGCATCCTGCGTAGGCGTCACCTTAAGCGTGGTGGCTCCGTGCGTGCTCTACGGGAACTGAGGAAGATTGCCATTTTGGAGGCCACCGCAGATAAGCCGCTGCACGAGCGTGAGGGTAAGTCGTCGTCCTTGTTGGCATCATCATCGTCGTCATTTTCTTCATTAGCGAGGGGGTCTGTCTTGCGATCGTTGGACAGTGCTGTTGAGGCGGCCTATGATCGGATGAACCTTTCAAAAAGCTTTCACAGCGATGCCGCTGTGTCCGGCTTGTCAACGTCACCTAAAGCCGCTTCTTTGAGCCACTTTTTGACAGAGTGCCGCCGATTGAGAGTGGAGATTGGAGAGGCTCGTGATGCTAGTGACCGTCGTCGTCTCCGCGACGCCACCCGATTATTCTGGGCGGGGAACGTGGATGGTGCTTTGGCCTGCTGCGCCATGCAAGGGAGGGACTTTGGGTTTGTTGCCGGGTTTGGGCTTATAGACAACGCCCTGCATGTGTGCTTTCCTTCTTTACAGCTCGCACTGCACTGCATGGCACGGGATAAGAGCACTTGCGCTTGCACGAGTATGGTGCTGGCTCTGCACTACATGGCCCGGGAGCTGGATCACCTGGAGAAAAACCATGCGGGGCCCGCTGCGTCGCACTCCGGTTGGGCACAACAGAGGAGGTTACAAATGAAGGATAAGACTGAAGTTAAACGTCTTGACGAAGACAGCAGTGGCGCTGCTGGTGATGGTGCCGCTGCGGGTTTGGAAATAGTGACACCAGAGGAATTAGAAAGCTTCAGGCGAGTCATCGCCACCCTCGGTGTGGAGCGCCTCCACCTCTTCTTCATTGAACGGGGTCAATCGGGACGTGTTTTGGGCTCCGCGGAAGACGCCCTGCATGCGTTGGAGTTTTTGGCCATCGTCAAAGTAGATGATGCAGGTGAGAAGGCCCGTGCCCTCGTCGAGGCGAAGAGGCCACGCTGGTGCCAGTCCTGTCACACGTACCTTGTGCTATCTTTATTTCGCCATGTTGCCCACAAAAGCAAGGATTTAAAGTTTACTTCTGTTGTTCACGCGTTTAAGCTCCTGCGCATTTTTATGCCTTTGCTTTCTTCCTCAGCGCCGGCACCTTCTACTTCTTCTGAGGATAAACAACGACAGTCGGGTGGCATGCAGACGGCTGCCACGCTTTGTTTTGACTCGCATGCCGCTCATGCCGTGGCCGATGGCAATGCGCCACTATTTCATGAAAGCCCGGCGTATCGTGAGTGGCATATACAGCGTGACATTGTGGACGGTGTTTTATGGGGGCTGTGCGCCACACTGCAGCGAAAAGACGCGCGTTTTGTGAATTCATTTCACTTTGTGCAAATCATGGAGACAATTTCACGGCTTCCACCGCATTTTTTGTCGCGTCCCCCTCATCCGAGGCGTCGGAGAATTCAAAATTTTGGGGTTTTTGCCACCACCACCACCAGAAACAGCAGCAGCAGCACCGATGGGGAGGGGGCGACTTCACTCTCAAGAGCAAGAGATGAGGAAACACCGCAGACCACGGAAGAGGTGTGGGGTTACTTGATTGCAAAAGCCTGCATTTTCATTCCAGGCCTGACATCAGATCAGCGGCGTCGTGTGTGTTGTGGTCTCCGACTGGCTGTTCAGAGGCGGGAAGGATATTTTGACCGCACAACAAGTGGGGATAAAAATCGTCGTTCAAAGACTTCTGCTGCAGAGGCTTTATTGCTGCCGATGGCGCATGAGTTGTTGCAGTACCCGAAGGACTATGAGGCCGCCATGTTTGGCCGTCCACCGGCAGAAGGGAGGGGCGGTGATTAGTGCGCGGGCAAGACAGCCCAATGCGGCAGCAAGAAAGGAACAAACAAGGGCCAGGCATTTGCCAGTGCAGCGGCTTGGAAAAAAAGAATGGACAATCTGATCCTTTTTTTATTTTTTGTGTTTTCTTTTTTTTTCTCAGGGAATAGAATGAGAATTTTCTTTTTTTTTCTTTTTTAGTTATTTTATTTTATTTTTTGTACGCGTTTGTGTGTGTGTGTGCTTGCCGCTTCACGTGAAAGTGCACCGCAGACACGCACGCACGGAAGGAGGTGGGGAAGAAGGCGAGGAAGCCGAAAAAAAGGGAATTTGTTAGCGGAAGTAAATAAGGTTAGATATTAGGGAGGCAATGATTCGCCGGTTTGGCTCAACCGTCGTGTCGCGTAGCAGGACGCCGTCAGTGTCACTTGTCTCGGCTCCGACGCATTCGGCCCTCCGCCAGTTTCATAGCTTGTATGGAATTGCCGTCTCTCTCGTCACGTGCACGGGATGTATTCTCTGCTTTGGGTCATGGGCGAACAACATCTGCAATGTGCGAAAATATGGCCGCTGGAGGTTTCGCAATACTATCGATGACGCCATCATGGTGTCGGATTTTAAAACTGCGCGATACATTGGCGGCTTCATCGGATTTTTATTCTACTGGTTTGTGGTGGGACCCAAAAAGTACAGTTATCCAAGCAACTTGGCTGATGTGCCGGACAACAAGCGCTTTGGACCGTTTTAGATGCCATCAGGGAGAAAAGGGGGTGGAGAAAACCATGACGGCAGCAACGCCTGCAGTTGTTGTATGGGAAAGGAGGGGATGAATAACGGGTCGGGGGCTGGGGGGAATCGGGCTGGTAGGAAAGGGTGCGGGTTTTTTTTCTTGTTGCTTTGTTTGTTTTATTTGGTTCTATGATTTGTTGGGCTGTCGAATACGTGGGTGGTGGCAATAGGGATAATCCACGCCGAGCAGCAGGTGTGCGTGGGCAGTACTTTTTTTTTTTTTTGACGCTCTTCTAATATTATTATTGCCATCAAAGTCTCTTTCCCTTTCCCTTTGTCTCTTTGTCTCTCTTTGTCATGCGCGCTCTTCTTTGTTGGATGTGCGCGTGTCACGTGAATCAACAAAAAAATCAACAACAACAACAAAATGCCTTCATTGGGATTTTGCGTGATTTTTTTTTTTTTTTTGTGCGTGTGTGCACTGCTTATGTTCTTTTCTTTTCTTGTGTCTGCCTGCGCTGCGAGAAGGAAAGTTGAGGGGGCGAAGAGGAAAACACAAGGGCTATTTGTGAAGTGAAGCGATGGCAAAGCCGAACTCCAAGCCAAGCGAGAAGGATATGCAGCGGGCACGTACGCTTCGGCTCCTAAACGATCTCCGTATGCAGCCTTTGAAGTCTCTGCCAATGACACTTTTTTTGATGTGGATGGTTGGCAATGACGTTGGCATCTTCACTATCATGTTTGTAGGCATGGCGGTGGTGAACCCTCTGCAGTCCATCTTTGGCACGAACGATGTTTTTAAGGAGTTTGAGGAGGAGGCGAAGGGGGATGCCAACATACGGAGCGCCCTTAGCCACTCAAAGCTGATGTACATCGCGTCATGTCTGCTGGCGTTTGCAGTGGCTTTAGTCAAGTTAAGCTGGATGGGACTTATGCCAGTGAACGCGATGGACTGGCTGGACAGCACACCGCCGGACTACAAGGAGTACACTCAGGGCTTCTTTGCCATCTGAGAGCCACAAGCCTCGCCCCGTTGCAAGTAAAAGGGAAGAGGAAGAGGGGAGGAGAACTCAGAAGGCACGCAGACGGATGAATATCGAAAGGCGGCAATATTTACACAAAAGATGAGGGATTTTCTAAATTGCCGCATTCGGTGTAGATGTGGGGTGAAAGGAAGTGGGGATTCGCTTTTCACTTTTTCTCTTTTTGATGCAAAGGAGTTTCAGGATCGATTTCACTCATAGAACCCCTTGTCTTTTTTGTTTGTTTGTTTTGTGTGTTTTTTGTGCTTTTTTTCCTTTTGGAATAAGACAAGAAAGGGAATTTATGCACCCGGTGGAGGGGGTTATTTGTGCTTAGGCATGTAATGCATGTATTCCAGCAGCTATGCGTTTGTGTGTGTGTCTGTGCGACTAAAATACAGTCTTTTTTTTTTGTTCATTTATATATGCTTCTTTTTTCTTTTTTTTCTTCTTTTTTTTTCTTTTTGATTGTGCCTGACAATCGGTGTCTGTGCACACATGTTTGCATGCATCCGTACCGTCACTACAGACACGATAACGCAGAGAAATGACGTCTATTGCGCTTTGGGTAACGCGGCGCATTCGAACGTTTGATTTAAAGCACAGTTGCCGCACACGTCCATATGCGTGGTACTTCTCGCTTTGCCTCCTCTTTGTGAGTTGGGCAAACTACGCGCAGTACAGGCGACTTCGGCCCATGTACCCGAACTACGAAGAATATCGTCTCAAGGAGGGCGGTAGGATGTTGGAGGCAAAGCGGCAGGAGATGGCGGATGTGATGCGATACAATAGCATGGTGAGCACAATGCGTAGCGAATTGAGCGGACGGGGTTGAATAAATTACTGCTGCGCACCACAGTTAGAGGTGTGTGTGTGTGTGTGTGTGTATGTATGTGTATGGTTTTTTTTTTCTTTCTTTCTTTTTCTCTCTTTGGGGCGGTGAAGGAAAATATGAACGTGAAAACTTCTTTTCTCTTTTCCACCTCTGTCATTCCAGAAAAAAAAAAACAAAAACAAAAACAAAAACAAAAAAACTGTGCATGATGAGTCCCGCAGCGTGAATAACGGCAATGAGAAGTGGGAATTGGTGAATGTGTTTGTCATTTGCTCTCACTGCTCCTGCTTTTTTCCCTTTTTTATATATTTATTTTTTATTTATTTGTTCCTTTCCCACGGCCAATAAAGGCCCATCAGAGGGAATTGAACCCTATATACATATTATACATTATTATATTATATTATATTATATTATATATGTGAAAGGCAAACAATATTAAAAAGACGAGAAGGCGTTCTGTACAACAGGAAACACAAGAAATGGCGACAAAAGGAAGGCATTCAATAACACCCGTCTCGACACTTGGTCGTTTTTTTAGCGTTATTGATTGCGAGTTGCACCGCATTAACATTGTCTATTTAGTGAAGGGATACAACCTGAGGTACTCTTTGACGGTGGCCACTCTCCTTCTTCTTTTGGCTCTAACGTTTGTCTTTCCGACCGAGCAGCCTGTGTATGTCGGTGTCGTGTCCCTATTGGCACAGTCCTTCAGTGTGCTAATGATTGCGGGAGGTCTCTATTGCGCCACAGGTGGTGTCTTCACACGACGGCGGCTGCAGGAAGAGTGGCTACTAGGCAATGTGAAGGATTTTTTGCATCTGCTTATGGAGAATGCATCTTCTTTTAAGGCGGGGTATATGTTGTTGGCGTTAGAGGCTATGGCGCGGCTTGGCAACGTTCTTCAAGGGTCAGCGTGTGTCTGTGCTTTGTTGTTGTTGTGGATATGCTGGCTGTTGCTGAAGATGAATAGTGAGAGGCCATGAGCGAAATGAGCTGTGAGGAGACATGTTTTGTCTTTCTTTCTCTATTCACAATTCATTGCGATGTGTGTTATTTGGAGTCTTGTGATGAAACATGTTTTTTGGAGTGAGTGCAGGAGTGCGTTTTTATTATTATTATTTTTTTCAATGTGCTCTGCGAATACTCGTGAAGGCAATATATATATGTATATGTATTTTTTGCTCTTTTTTTTTTTTTTTGTATTGTGCCTGTTTTGGTTTGCTTTTGGTTTATTTCAAAGTGGACCGAGGAGGAGGGGAGAAGCAGAAGATGCGGTGGACATGGCCTGCACGTTGTGCCGCCAACACTTTGGCACCGGCGAGGGAGATGGAGCGACGTCTGCGTTCACGTGACATGACGCTGCGCGTGACCACAAAGGATGGCACTCTGCGTCTTGTGTATGCATCCACGTTGGGTCTCTTGCGGGAGACTCTCCGGCGACACCGGCTGGCAACACGCACACATGGCTGTTGCCCGTTCTTGGAACTACTCGGGACACACCTGTCATTCACGAACATTCTGGCGGCGCTCCAGGAAGGAGAGGAACGTGTGTCCTCTCGATTCACGGCGGATGAGGCGACTGTCGTTACCGAAGCACTGGCGCTTGGAGAGTGTCGATGTTGCGTACGTGGCGACAACAATGGCAGCATTGAGGGGCCGTCATTCCCGCTCATAGTTGAGCGGGCCTTGTATGGTCGGAGGCAGACCTTCACTTCTGCGACTTCAGCGAGATTTGATCGGATTGTCTCTGAGGATGAGGAAGAAATAAATGACGCTGATGCGATGTCAACATTGCGGATTGGGCTGAAAAACACGCCTCGTGAAAAGTTGATGGAATATTTCCGGCATAACATCTCACTTCATGGTTACAACTTCTTTTGTCAATCTGAGGGTTTGACATCGGCGCTTTGGTGCTGTACGCATCTGGGGGACCCGTCCATTCAACAGGCTCTTGCGTTCTGTGCGGAGGATGTCATGATGCACGATGCAGCTAGCAATTCTCTGGAGGCAGATACGAAACTTGATTTGGCGTTGGAGCGCTCAGGGCTTTCGTACGGTGTTCTGCTTCAGCCACTGCTGGCAGGAGAGGCGGTGGAGATGGATATTAGGCGGCTACAGCGGGTTATTGTGGATGCTTCTATTAATACCCCAGATGTGTTCCGTGAGCTCACCCACCGGGCGGTAGAGAATGGACTTGCATGTCAGGACAACATTGCGCTTTTTACAGGAGACTACGAGGGGGCGTACGCAATAGCGACGGCAGCGCGACAGTCTACACAAGACCCCGCATTGGCGATGCGGGCGGTTGAAAAGGTGCGATGTAAACTTGGGTTTAATGAGTTTTGTCTGTCGCTTGACTCTGCGGCAATCGTGCGCAACGGAGTTGATTATTTCTGTCGCTGCTTTAAACAAAACTTTATGCGGTCTGTGGTGACACTTCCAAAGGAGGAGTTGCTGCGTCTCATGCATGAGACAAGCTTCCGCTGCACGTTCTGTGCGAAGGAGCATCCGCTGCAGCCGGAGGATTGGCAAAAGGCCATGCAAGGCCGTATTGAATGATGCAAGGGTGGCGCTCCTTGCAATGTGAGGGAGGGATACAGCGGGGCTGGCTGGAGTGGGCGGAGAGGAGGAGCGTCCTGTTTGTTATTTTGCGTTTATTTCTTTTTTGTTTTTTTGCCGGCTGCTGTTACGACCGATAACCTCATTTCTGCTGCCCACGGAGGGGCCGATGGGTTTGGCGGGGGTCGGGGGAAAAGAAAGCCGCACTTTTTTTTTTCTTTTTTTTTTGTGTTGCCTGCGATGTCTTCTCCTCGTCTCTTCTCCACTTCATTTCATTTCTTTTCCTTTTCTTTCCCATGTAATCTGCCTCTTCTTCTGGGGTTTGTGCGGTAAACACGGCGAAGATTGTAGTCGGCATTCATACGGCAACCCCCAACATCACCACCAAGAAAAGAAAACCCCGAAAAGAAATAGGGAGAGGTTTTTGCCGCGTGCACGAGGCGGTATCAATTAGGTAGGGACGATTTTCGAGTGAGGAGGAGGAGGAGGAGGAGATCATTTAGTTTGGTATTGTTTTGTGTAATTGTTTCTTTTCTCTTTTTTTTTTTTTTCTTTTTGATCGTGCGTGCTGGGGGGGGGGAGCGTGAAGGAGAATTCAAGAGAAACGATGTTCGGTGGGCAAGGCGAGAAGCCGAAGGGGGCCAAGCAGACGCCCTCCGTGAAGGCGGGAGCGGAGCGACGCCAGAGGCAGATGATCAGTGTGCGGCAAAAGGCGCATGGAGAACTTATGAAGCACGTCCGCGAGGATCGCAGGGAGGTGAGCGTCGGAGAGCCGTGTCGCCTGAATGGGGATCCCCAAGACGTCTGGACGTACGGCGCCCAGACAGCGCCTGAAATGGTTCCACGTGAACTGCTGCCCGAATTTGCACGGCTGGTGATGGAGGGAAAATCAGAGAAGGAGGTGTTTCATGGCACTCTCATGATTCGTAAGATCCTCTCCGTGGAACGTAACGCGCCTCATGACGCGGTGATCAAGAGTGGTGTCGTTCCATACCTTTCAGAACTTATGGATCGGTTTGATAATCCAAAATTGCAGTTTGAGGCTGCGTGGGCGCTGACGAATATTGCCGCAGGCACCACTGAGAATGCAAGTGCCCTCATTCAGTTTGGAGCCATTCCTCGATTTGTGACTCTGTTGGGGTCTGAGAACGAGGACTGCCGTGATCAAGGCGCATGGGCGATAGGCAACATTGCTGGCGATGGGGTTCATTGCCGCGATTTGGCGCTGCAGTACAATGCCTTACCTGCCCTCCTCCAAGTTGTCACGACGCCAAATCAGCCACTCAACGCTCTTCGCAATGCCACGTGGGCTATATCTAATTTGGCTCGGGGGAAACCCGCGCCGCCCTTGGATAGCGTCTCCATAGCTCTCCCAGTTTTATCCGGTCTTCTTTATCATCCTGACAAGGAGGTCGTAATAGACGCTGCATGGGCAATTTCTTACATAAGTGATGGTTCTTGGGATCGTGTGCAGGCTGTGGTAGATGCGGGTGTTGTGCCTCGCATGGTGGAATTTCTTTCATCTCCTGTAATACCCCTTCAGACCTCAGCTGTTCGTACTGTCGGTAACATTGCGAGTGGTAATAACGAACAGACACAAATCATAATCAACTGCGGGTTTCTCTCGGTACTTGGAAATCTATTAACGCACTGCAAACGTGATATCCGGAAGGAAGCCTGCTGGACTGTTTCCAATATTGCTGCTGGAACTTTACCGCAGATTGAGGCGCTCATTTCATCAAACGTGTTTCCCTTGGTGATTAAATGCCTCGAGGGCTCTGATCTCGATGTAAAGAAAGAGGCTATCTGGTCAGTTGCCAACGTTGTTCTTTGTGGCGTTGTCTCCCACCTGCGGTATCTTTTGGATTGCAATGTAGTTCCAGCCCTGTGTGAAGCCCTGTTATTGCATGAGACGAAGATTCTGACGATTTCCCTGGAGGCTCTTATGGGTTTCCTCCAACTTGGCGATGATGATTTCAGGGCAGGCATCAGCGAAGAGAACATGGTGGCGCAGGCGATCATTGCGTGCGGGGGTGTAAATGCCATTGAGCGCATCCAGTCCTATACGGACAATAATCTATACAGCATGGCTCTTTCAATCCTTGAGACGTATTTTAATGTTGAGGAGAGTTTCCCACAAGGCGGGTTTGAGGCATCCGCGGAGTTTGGCGACGGCACAGCGAAACAAGGCACGGAATTTGACTTTTAATAAACGGATGGAGGGGAATACAAACACACATACACACAAAACAACAGCAACAACAAATAAATAAATAAATATAAAAAAAAAAAAGAATGAAAAAGGAAGAAAGAATAAGGAAGGAGGAAAAGGAATCAGAATTAAAAAAAAAAAAAAAAACAGAAACAAAACAAATCAAAAAAAAAAAAAAAGAAAGTGGGAGACAGAAAAAAAAAAAAAAGTGAGGAGGTAAGACAGTGAGCGGGATAATTAAAGGAAGAAAGGGAGGGGGAGGGCTTGGGACACACATCTCTACATGTGTCCACAAGGAAATAAGAGAAGCAGAGGAACGGCATGTTTGCAGAGATGTGCACGACTCAGTGAATTCCGTATGTGCGCACACATGCGGCGGGATACGGGGGAAGAGAGACACACCCGCACGAAAGCATGCCGCACCCACGGATGAGGGGTTGTTTTTTTCTTTTTGCTAGAAGCCTTCTTTCTTCATCTGGGAGATTAACACAGAATAAAACAACAACAACAACAAGAAGAAGAAGAGGAAGAAAAGAAAAAAAAAACAAAAAAAAAAAAAACAAACAGCAGCAACAACAATAACTTCTCCATTATTTCACTGTTTGCAGAGTTGAGACGTAAAGGAAATTGCGAAACTTAAGAAAAGAAAAAAAGAAATTTACATGCAAATAATGCAACGTATAGAACGACAGGCAAAGAGGAAGAAAAGGGAGAAAAAGGAGGGGAGAGAGAGAGGGAGGATATATATATATATATGTGCAGGGAACTGTGAGGAGAACGAGAAGGAAGGAAAGAAAACAGAAATAAAATGTACGGCAGGCTGTGCCTTGTGCGGTGGAAAAAGCTAAACAGAGGAGTAATAAAGAAGGAGACTGGAGAATCAGAAGGCGAAGAGGTGGCGGTGGTGGCTGCCCGAGCCCTCAGGCTTTAACCGGGTGGGGTGGTGGGTCATTAGTCGCCACCCCGTCACCGGAGGGGGCAGACGTTCAAAAAATTTTTTTTTCTTACTTTTTTTTTTTTCGTTTCAGGGGGGAAGAGGGAGACAACTCCCTGGCTCTGTATTTCTTTTATGTTTTTGTTTTTGTTTTTGCATGTTCTATATCTGTTTTGAAGTCTGCTGTGACATGTAACCGTGACAAGGGAATGCGCAGGTGAAGAGGGAGAGGGAGAGAGAGGGTTGGGGGGTTGGGGCAAAATGAAAGGTCTCCTCCCCCATCCCCCTTCTTTGATTTTTGTGTTTCTTTCTCTCTCTTTTTCTTTCTTTCGTGAATATCAATCTCTCTAGACAAACACGTCTTTTGGATTAAGTGTACCACCTCCCGTCATCTATCTAATATATATATATATACATACATGTATATATATATCCATATCTATTTCTTTTCAAGACCGCGTATGAGGAAACGTCATGATTGATTTGGACCTTTTTTTTTTTTAAATGTTTTTATTTTTGTATATATATATATTCCCTAGGGGGGTCGAATTGGATCTTGTGATTTTTAATTCACCTCCTTCCTTTTTTTTTTTTTTTGTGTGTGTGTTTACCCGCAAGAATTCCTTCTTGTGGGAGCAGTTGAAAAGCGAAAGGGGTCGGGACGTCGCGCAGAGAAGAGCGGTGGGGGCGGAAGAGGCATGCAGGGCTCCAGTCGACGTCACGGTCGCGATGAGGGGAACGATGAGGAATTTGACAAACAGAGAGATCGCAAGCAGCGGCGACGTGGCGATCGCGAGGCGCGGAAAGAGGCACGCATTATGGCACACGAAAAATGGGTGGAGCAGCGGCGTATCATGAGGGAACGGATGCGTAAAGCACGAGAAATGAAGCGGCAGAATCGAAAAGAGACACACCGAAAACGGTTTGCAACATCAGATGCATCCGCTTTTCCACCACGCAGAGCCACGAAGGTGACTAAGAGCATGAAGACTGCCAGTAGACATGGAAAGACACTTGCGGATACCTTGGATGCTGGGGATGCTCGCTCATCTCTCAGGGCCTTTGCCTCTCAGAAGGGGCCCTCGCCTCCACACGAAGAGGAGCATTCGCCAATGGCACTTGCCAATACGACAACATCAGCATCGGTGGCAGAAGTAACAACTATTGCTAGTGCTACGGGAACCAATTCAGCCAAATACATCCCACCGACACTGCGAGGTAAGACAACACGAGAAAAAAACGCTTCTCTGGATGAAATTACACGGCGTATCATTAACAAACTCACTGTGCACAATGTGGTGGATCTGACAAGGGAGACCTCAGAGATTTTTGGTGGGGCCGTTAAAGGGACTTCACGGGCGTCTGTGCTGCGTAGCCTCTCAGAACACATTAACTGCATATGTATGCTGGACACAGGACCCCTAACACCGATTGCGAGTTTGCCGTTTGCGGGGCTTATTCGCGGACTGCAGCTGCTGCACGGCAATGTGGTGGGATCCGAGTTAATAGAGAGTCTATGTTTTGCGCTTCAGGAACACCTTAACAAGTACAATGAGACAAGTGCATCAAATGGTGCTATGGTACTTGCTCATCTTTACGTTTTAAATGCTGTGGATTCATTGCTTATATCCAGTTTTATACGTTTTGCACTACAAATGAAGGGCCATCAAGGGGTCTGCGCCGCGGCTTGCACTTTGACGCTTCTTCGTGCGTGTGGTGAGAAACTCCTGAAGGAGGCACCAGGTCAAATGGAACAGGCACTGACGGAGGCAAAGTCCTACAAGCGTCAACAAGAGTGTAACGTCCGTTACAGCACTCTTCTTAGTTATATTGCGGATATTTTGAGCGGGCACACGCGCAGCGCCAAGCGCACCGTGGATGAAGAAGAGGTTCCTGTTGAATTGTTGCTTAGTGACATGACTACATTGTTGCCTTCAGGTGGAAAGCCCAGCAACAGGCGTGTTCTTTATCGCATCATGAGTACAACGAGTGTGTTGACGGGGGTCACGTGGGCACGTATGATGCGCACGGATAAACCCCCTCGCTGGTTTGTCCTTGGAGCCTGGGATGATGTGGACGGCAATGAAAACTCGAGTGTTTTACCGAATTCCAATGCGGAGGCAATCTTTTCAGCCGATTCTGGGAGTGAAGATACGGATGACGAGGAGGATGAAGTGGAAGTCAAGGCCGAGCGTATTCGACAACTTCGTCAACAAGAAAGGGCCATATCAGGGCAACGGTTTAACACGGAAAATAAGCGTGAGGTGTTCCAAGCTCTCACAAATGCCTCGGATGATTTGGAGGCTTTCACGCTTCTTATTCACCGCGATCTTTCTTTTAGCCGCCTGCATGACACATTGGCTGTTGTGTTGCAATGCGCCTATCAAGAGAAGGTTTATAACCCGTATTATGCACAGGTTATTCAGCGATTTTGTAGTGCGAAGGAATCGTGCAAAAATACACTTCAGTTTGCCTTATGGGATATGTTCAAGTTGGTTCGCGTGGAGCCTGTCGATGTCACCGGGTACTTCAATCTTTCTTGTCTGCTTGCCCATCTCATTGAGGCGGGTGTGTTTACCCTTGCCGTTCTCCGAGGACTGGACCTGGATTGCACAAACAGGACGATTGGTCTGTTTACTCGCATTCTTCTTCTTCGTCTAATCTTCCAGTTGCCTCCTGCAAGGCTCGCGGAAGTATTCTTTGGCGGTGATGGATTTCGTGCGCACGACGTGAAGATCGACACCAGTGTCTTGCGATCCAATTTGTCCAAAGTCGTGGAGCGCTACTTTGTGGACGAGCGGGAGGCCGGGAAATGGATCCCAAATTTCTACGACGTGGTTGCCAGAGGTACTTTCTTTGATGTACATCGGCGCGACGGTCCTGAGGGTATTGGTGGTGATGAAGGGGTCATGGATGATGAGACGCGCCTTCAGCTTTTTATGAAAAGGATTCAGGTTGTGTTCAAGGCATTGCGGGACGGCATCTCATGAGAGGGTTAGGGTGCAAATTTGAGAATTACGAGGAATAACTTGACGTCTAAAATATGGATGATGATGATGATAAAAGAGAGGGGTGTTGTTATTATGAATTCCCCTGTTTGTGTTTTACCCACTTTCTCTCTCTCTTTTTTTTTTTTTTTTTTTGTAACGCCCATACATGAATTTGTTTGTATTAAGTGCTTATGGCTTCTGTTTCTCTGTCGTGTTGCTTTATGTTTCTCCTTTGACGTGTATTTCGGTCCTGCTGCGCCTCTTTATTTATTTATTTGTTTATTTTGCGCCCAAACGGAGGCCGTGGGAAGAAGAAGGAAAGGAAGAGGAGGAGGGGTTTGGTGCCTGCCGTTGGCGGTGGTTTGAATTGCAAGGGGGCGGAGAGAGGGGTAGAAGTCAGGGGCTGAGGAGGAGAACTCATGCCACTCGCCGAGCAGAGGGGCTTACTCCCGCGTTGTGTTGCGGAGTTGAATGCCCACTTTCTGTCGGCCCGAGCTGACATTTTTACGAGAGGGACTCTGACCGTTGAGTTTGCCCCCATGATGTCTTCAGGCCTCTCAGGTAACGGGATAACGGGGGATGAGGGCATAAATAACCGCCACGCTGCGATACTGCTGACATTGTCGCCTCTCCACGAAATTGGCGAGGTTTCTGTGCGGCTTGAAAGAAGGGGAGAGGACACTGGTGACAGCATGGGAGAGTGTCACCAGCTACCGCTGAATAATTTGAAGTTGTGTGAAACAAAGCGGCGTGTCGTGCGCATTAACGATGGATGGAGGCCCGCTGTAGCATCGCCAGACATTCTCGCTGTGGATTCCGCTAGTTCCGTTGCTGTCGAGCATAAACTTGGCCTTGTGGAGGCGGAAGAAAAGAACGAGCCGAAAATAGATGAGGATAATGGCGCAGAGGAGGTTCTTGAGCTTGTTTTTGGTTCCAGCGACAGCGAGAATGACACCAAAGCTGGTGAGTACGATGATGCTGATGATTATGCCAACAAAAATTGTGAGAGCGTTGCGGAGGAGGGTCCACTTCACTCTGCGTTGCTAGAAGAGAGTGGCAACGACAACACAGGCCAACAGTTTGTGCTTAAACTGTGGCCGTTTCCTGCTAATGGAAAAGATACAATGGATGAGGGCGCGTGGTTCATATCGCGCTGTTGCATCGAAGTTAGGCTGCTTCCTCCATCACAGCTGGCGAGCCTCTCGTACCCTCGTTTAACAGTGTCATCAGCGGCAGGTAAAACGCACTTGAAGCAAGAGGAGGTGTGGGAGTTTGGTAGCGAAAATTATCTGTTGTTGGTGGGGCAGCGGTTTTACGATTACTTTATTTGTCCCCGCGTGGCGTACGCGGAAAGTGGACCGGATGCCGCGAGTTTTGCGGCCGTTGATGTCTATGTAACAGCACTGCGCCCCTTCTCAGATGCGATTGCAACTTCATGGGAGATTTTGCCCATGTGTTCTTTTCCAGTGCTACCGGAAGATTTAGTGTGCGCGTTTGTGAGATCACAACAGGGGGAAGTTGCATCTCTTGTAGCCGAGGAAACACATGCAGGGGTTCGATGGCGCGTGCAACACCACTCCGCGTATACAGTTTTGTCGTCCATCGATGAGGAAGATGCGAGTGACGGAAAGGATTTGTACTTTTTTAACTGCGATCACGTCTTGAGTGACTCTCTTTTTCCACTGATACGTCTGGCAGAAAAAGCCTGGGAGGAGACAAGCTCGCGGGCAGCGGTACGCGTGGATGCAAGTTTCTGCCGCAGGAAAACCACATGGGTTGTTACTGGCTGCAGTAACACGTTATTGAGCCTTCGACGTGGCACGTTGTGTACACGGGGAGCGGTGGTGTTGGTGGCGGATGTGCTGCGAACCGTGCGGAAAACTATGGCCTTGTCCACGCCCTTGTTTCAGGCGAATCTCCTGCGGGCAAAGGCGGCGGTGTTGAGCTCCGCCTTGGAGATGCTGTGGCGGATGTCCGCGGGGAATGGCGTTGCACCGGAGTTTGAGTTCACGCCCTCGAGCTCCGCTCTCACTCGTGGGTGGGCCCTCTGTTTGCTCTGCAACGAGTTTGGATGGACGGAACTGCTCTGTCAGGAGCGCCAGATTGCCCTAACCCATATTTCTGCCTCGTCCCAGTTGCACCCATGGTGGCTCACCCAACGGTATGTCCAAGAGACTCATGAAACACTAATGTTTTTATCCTCTGCCTTTGTGGTCGCTTCCATTCGTCAGAGGCGCCTTTTTCCATGGCAGTTTTTTGAGAAACACCGCAAATATAAACCATCGGTGGAGATGCTGGGCGAGTCAAACGTCATGGTCTCTAGTGGCATGCATCTTTTGCTTGTGCAGCAAATGTTGACGCAACGACGACATGAAGGAGGTGGTGGAGGTGTCGCCTCTCAGCCTGTGGTGTTCCATGGCTCTCTTTACTATGAAGGAATTAAACAGCATGCCACATGTTGCGATATTAATCTTCGCCTGAATTGTGTCAAGGCAAATGCCACAAATCGTTTGCGGATGCATGGCATGCGTCTTTCCCACTCACTTTGGGGGATTGATGTTCCGTTCACCGTTGTGTTTTTCGCTGTGGATGCATCAGAGGCGTCTCAGATGGCACCGGAAGGAGTGCGAAAGGAAAAGAGACTCCAGTGCCACGTCACACACGTGTTGCCCTGCTGCTGGAGGGTTTCTGGCCTAAAGTGGGCGAGAGGAGTTGATCAGCAGGCATCCTTCTCTTTCCTGGGGACGGTGGCTGAAAATTTCGACAGGGATTTTGTGAAGAAGAAGGAGACGATGGAGAAGGAAGAAAGTGAAGAGGGTAACGACGAACCGCTTTTCATGAAAATTCCCATGTTGGTGCTAAATCTGAAAATTGTTCCAGCCGCGTTGTCAATAAGTGTTCAACATGACTGGTTTTGGTTAAATTTAATTTCGCCCCTGGATGCATTGGCACGTCAGGTCATCCTGCAGCGCATCATGGAAGAGTCTGTGCGGGAGGGCGAGAATAAAGTCGAGGAGACGGATCTTATTTTTACACCGCTGATGAATCAACTGCTGGAGGGCGTTGTTGGGGATCACTGCTGTGCATCCGCTAAGTCAGAAGGAAATTTGCCTGCCACGCTTTTTCTATCGGCTTTAAAGACTGTGGATCTTGGTTTCACGGCTATCCGGTCTCGGATTCGCCCCGGTTTGTACACCCGTTTTACGCGTCTCGTGTTGAAACTCAACTTGACTGCCTCGGTCGCTACGGACCCTGCGGGCGCATTGAGGCGGAGTTGTGGTGACGATGAGAGGTGTCGACTGCCCGGGGTTGTGATGGGCGTGGAGGAGAAGATGTTAAGTCATCTTCGGACGGTGGAGGCGTATGATGCTTCTTTGCCGCGCCCAAACCCACGAAGGCGGCAGCGGCAAGAAGAGGAAAATGAAGGACAAGGAAAAAAACTGGGACCACGATTGGTATTGAGTCTGAGAAGGCGATCAGTTGTCCAGCGGGCGGAGGAGGAAAAGGGCCATCAAGAGATGAAGGTGAAGAATAGGCTCGAGATGACGTCGTTAGACAATCCTGCCGATTTGGCAGCCATGGTTGGTCGCATTATTACGAAAGGCGCTGAATCCAACGTGGCGGACGATACTTTTCTTGCGGCACGCTCAGCCGCCTTGTCGCTGGTGCTGCCGTTGTGGCTACTGTTGCACAGTCGGCCCGACATGTCTGAAGCGCAGCAGGCGGCGTTATGTGACGGAGCGGAGGACATCTACGAATCCCTCCGAGACAGCGCTGTCGCTAATGACTTGGACCCCGTCCTGTTGAAGGGGTACGAGTGCCTTGCGCAGAAGGCGGAGTCGAGAAAGGGACAGAGAGACTGCTCCGGTCATCCATAGCTCTTCCTTTTTACGGGGTGTTTGCGGGGCATTTTTTACTCTTTTTCTTCTTGGTGCATAGTTTTGTTATCATTTGCTTTTTTATTACTGTTTTTTTTTTTCTTTAATGTGCGTATTTGGCGTTATCTTTTTCTTTTTTAAATTGTCGTTGCTTTGCAAACTCGTTTAATTTCCAATAAATATATATAGTGGCATTACTACACACACACACACACAGAGAGAGAGAGAGAGAGAGACGTTTTTCTCTGTTTGTGTGTGAGTGTGTGAACGCCGAGGAAGGCGTGGAGGAGTTGTACTGGAGGGTTATTAGGAGGCAGGCGATCCTTTTCTCTTTCCCTAACTGTCCCAACTGACGTATAAAAGTTCGTACGTACTCATAGTGAGGGAAAGGGGAAGATAAAAATAGTTCTTAGGCGTGGGGGAGGCAGCACAGTAGATGAGTCTGACAACTCATGATGCATTCAGCGCTGTTGCCGGTAGGCATCAGACTCAAATACCTGTCCTGGAGTGCACCTCCGATGATGAGGTTGTCGTTGTTGCCTTCGATGGTTTGAGGTACCGTCGCAGCGTGTGTGTTGTCATCATGAATGATCGGGGTCAATTTTTGGGGTGCCGGCGCTGCGATAACCGGCAGTTCTTACAGTTTGTTCAAGGCGGTGCAAAGTCGCATGAGACCGTTCAGCAGACGGCGGAGCGCGAGGTGTTTGAGGAGATTGGGCTACCCGCGAAACACCTCCGCTTCGTCGCGGAAATTTTGCCCAAAACAGTGGGACGCGAGGCACGGGCCGCTTTTCGCTACAGGTCAAAGACGTGGCGGAAGAAGGACATCATAGGGCAAGAGCTTTACCCGCTGCTTTACCTTGCGGAAACGGAGGTGGTTTATCTGTTGCACTTTAAGGCCGTTCCGGGTGTGCGACAGGAGTTCTGCGAAGCCAAGTGGATGACACTTGAGGAGCTCATGCAGAACTGCCCGCCCTCGAAAGCAGCGGTGATGGCAAACATCTGCATGGCCGTTGCATCGTTTGCGCGTGGCGGTTTGGGGAATGGCTCCGAATTGAATATTTGCGGGGGGAACGCCCCGCAGTTAGTTGGCACCGTGCAGGGGACAGACGTTAGGAATGACGGGACCGCACCGGGTAGAGGAAATACCGGCGGCGATGGCGGCCATCGGAATCGCCGAAGAAGAAAGCCACGAGTGCAACAGGAGTGATGAAATGGGCGGGGCTCTTCACCCCTGCGGGAGGCAAACGAAAGGCTGAGAAGAATAAAAAGAAAGTAAAGAAACAAACAAAAATGCTTACAAAATTGAGATGTTCACGTGTGTATTTCTTTGCGTTTATGCTTTTTTTTTTTTGCGTGTGTGATGCTTCTTTGTTTTTCTCTGTTTTTGATGCCTACATTTACATGTCATTATTATTGTTATTTACTTCTATGCATTTATTGCCTTTTTTTTCTCTTTCCTCTCTTTCTTTCTGTGTGTGTATGTGCTTCCGTTTGGTTTGTGCTTTCGTTTTTCTTGAATAGGGGGGCTGAGGGTGTGTGTGTGTGTTAACGACGGCGTCATTGGCCGTTGTTGGTTGTGGGCTGGCTTGCCGACATGTATCGAGTCTCCGCGTCACCGCAACGACTTTTGTGTGGATTCAGCTTAACCTTTTTGTGTCGCTCCAATGTCTCCTTGCTCATTCCCTTCCGACTTCTCATGATGGTCGTGCACTTCACCGCCCTCGTGTGTGTGTCAGACGGGAGTGATGCGATGATCCGAGGCGGTTCTTTACCCTCCAACTACATGGAGAGTGAATATAGATTTCTGCGCCGCGCAACAGATGGCTTTCTGGCTGGGAGCTTTCTGTGCCTGTTCTTCAATGTTTGGGGCGTGGTGACGGCTCGTACGCTCCGTTCGGGTTTGTTGAACATCATGCATGGCTGCTTTCACGCTGCCGCAGCTGTGCTATTGATCGTCGCCTGGCACATGCAAGAACGGGCTGAGCGCATCTGGCATGTATTCTACATATTCAGCGTTATCCCAACGGGGCTGGAGGCGATTGCTTTGTGCGAGTCCTACTGTCGTGGCACGGACAACTTTTTTTAACGGACTTATTCAGACGCGTTTCTTGCACGTGTTGTGGATCAGCTCGTCATTTCTGAAAGAAATTTTTTTTTTCTAGCACGCACTTTTGTGTTTGTATGTGTGATATTTGATCTTTGCCGTGTGCGCGACACTTAGCGCGGATGTGTACTTCACTCTTTCTTACGAAACTCCCTCCGGGATGGTGGGGCGGGCTATGTACCGACTTTCTTATTGTTTTTATTTTTATTTTTTTGCTTTGATTTTTTTGACAGGTGCGCATGTAGCGTGTTTAGGTACCCAACCAGAGCCATGACGCATCACACGTTCCTCATCCTCCACGTTGGTGAGTGCGACGTCCATGCGGGAAGGCGGCAGTTGTTGCGCAATGCGTCCATGTCTTTTGAGACGCCTTTGTCGTGTTGAGCCCTATTATTGTGTTTACACGACTTCCTCCACCTATATGTATGATGAGAAACCGATGATTTTGTAATTGTTCCTTGACTCCCTATGGAGTGTGATATTTCACTTTAATCGACAAGAACCCTTTAACACTGATGTCTCCTTTTCTTTCTATTTCCCTTTCTCAGTTTGCGTGTGCCCCCCTCCCTTGCTTTGCTTCCGTGTTAAAGCACAAGCAATCGTGATTCCTGTTGGCTTTTTGTTGCTGCTGCTGCGGGGGTTATCAAGGCTGTGCGAGATAGTGATATATGCATGTGTGTGTGTGTGTGTGGAGCAAAGTAGTAGTCGCACTGTTTTTGGTTCTCGGGTTGTAACTATTCGCCACGCCTGCGCCACCGCCCTTTTCTCTTTTCTTTTCCCTCTTTTTTTTTTTTTTTTGCATGATTGCCCCTCTATTCCTCGTTCTCTCTTTTTTGCCTACTTCTGCAGTGTCACGGCTGTGTACTGAAAGGAAGAATCATCATCAGTGGAAAATAAACGCGTTAGGTTGGAGTGGCAACAGCATTAACAAGGAAACGAAGAAGAGGGGGTGGGGGGAGGGGGGGAAAGAAAAGAAAAGGCCGATAAAGGGGGAACGACGGCAGGACGAAGAAGGCAAAGGTGAGAAAAAACAACAACAAAGTAAGCGAGGAGAAATTCGCGCGTTCAAAAGCAAAAAACAAAACAAAACAAAACAAAACAAAAATTAAGAAAAGGAGAGAAAAAGGCAAAAAAAAAAGGCGAGAGTTGACTGGCCAGGAAACCGGGACTGTGGAGCGACGTTTTACGAGCTTCCCGGCATCAAGTGGCGCGAAGGCGGTGTGTGTTTGTGGAGGAATAAAAAAAAAAAAAAAAGGGTGGGGAAGAGGGTATCACACGCAACGTTAATATTTCACTCGACATCTAAAATTTATTCAAGACGTCGCTGGTAAACTTCGGAACAGGAAGGAACCGGGCAACTCTTTTGTCTGAAGGCAAGCGTGCAAAGAGAATGCTCTGCTCCTGCACCGAACGGGTAGACCCGCAGCGTTTGCGGGTGAAGTTTGCAAATGCATGGCTAAAGGAGGGAGTTTTGACCTCAGAACCCTTGACAATGTACTGCACCTTGTGTGAGCAGCGGGGGCTTATGTCTGGCAAGACGAAGAGCAAAACAAAACTGCACGGCTTTAGCATTTTCCGAAAAACGAGGGATGAGGCAGATGGCTCAGGGGAGAATGCATTGGATGATCTCTTCTTGTGTTTCACATGTACCATGTGCTTTTGTGCGGCACATGCAAAGATCCATGAAGAAGAACAGAGAAGAGCTGCCATGGCTGGCAACAGCAATCGTGGAAAACGTCACTTTTTATTTTTTGCTGTTCCATTTTGGGCAAAGACGGTGGGAACTTATACCCCGTCAGGGAAAAACAAAACTCTGTTTCCCACTTTTCACGTAGATGACCTCGAGCATATACGTGAGTCGGGCCCCCTGACGCTTGAAAAGGAGGCTGCCATTGTCTTCCGTCCAAGCGGTGATTCACATGGGTGGGTTTATAATGTATGGTGTACGCATTGCAGCGAGAAGCCGGCTCCACTTCGCTTCTCCGAGTTTCAGGAGTCCGACCCACTTCATGTACACATCAAGCTGTTAGGTGATATTATTGCAAGGCTTCGTTTTCTTTTCTATGAGGGAATTCGAATAGAACTACCCGCCGAATGGTCTGCATTAAACCAGGGCAATTTCCACACAGGGGAGTCCTCGTCCTATCCACGTGCTTGCGGGGACATTTATGCTAACCGTAATACTTTGCATGATTTGGATGTTCACGCGAGTGGCACTTCTTCTATGGGCACATCCTCTTTTGCATTGCGAGGGTCAAAAGGGGACGGTGAGGCTCTTGTGTTAGCACATGTTGCTGGTATTGAGAATCATCGGAACACTTGCTACTTTAACTCTGTCTTGCAATGTGTTCTTAAATGTAGATTTTTTACACGTCCACTGCTTTCTCTAGATGTTGGAGCTCTTCCGGGTCCGCTGAGTTATCGCATATATGCCATGGCTCGTCATCTTAGTGAACAGACCCTTGCGGACGTGCAGACACGTGCAGTTTATCCATTTGCACGTGCGGTATTACGTTGTCTATGTGAACTTGCCCCTCTCTTTGCGGAGGATGATCAGCAGGATTCCCAGGAACTCTTTTTGTGTATGATTAATGGTGTGGCCGATGAGTTTGACAAGGGCAAGTCCGAGGAGGAGAAGAAAAAAGGCCCACGATTATCTTTTGAGGGGGTTATGCGCACGGAGGTTGTCTGCACGCAGTGTGAAAGTCGTTTTCCACGTGAGGAGTTATTCATGGCCCTCTCGGTTCCTGTTGAAGACTCGATTGAGAGTGGGCTGCGCAAACTCTTTCGGCCGATGCATCTTCGGGAAAAGGATCAATATGCATGTGAAAGGTGTTTTAAAGGGCTTACGAAGGCGGAACAGGAGCGACACAACGCGGCTATCAGGGCGGAGAATGAAAGAAAAGAGAAGGCCAAGAAAAAGGCATCGGCCGAAGAGAAGCGGAGTCTTAACTGTGTATATTCTGACGCCGTTGTATCGACATCCATCAGTCGGTTGGGCGGTACATTGGCTCTGCACCTGCTGCGATTCCAATCGGACGGCCGCGACTTCCAAAAGGTTACCCGGAGCGTGGCGTTCCCCATGTCGCTTGACCTGGCACCGTTTGTATCAAAGGATGTGTTAAGGGAATACGAAATGGCACGTGGCCTCTCTGCTCTCCAGGCACGATTTCCACACGTACAACGTGATCGTTTGCTTCGCTTCTTTGAACACGCTAGCGGTGACCTTCAGAAGGCGGAACGGATGCTGATCGGGATGGAAGAAAAGGGTGCGTTGAACGGCGAGGATGATGCCCTGCTGGAGTTCAAAGCGGGACAAGGGGCGTCGGATGGCTCAATGCCAGGGATCACCACGTGTCGTTCAAGCGGACACACGAGCTGCGATGTGAGCCCCGCTGGCTTCTCTCCAGTGTCTTCTGTGATGAAAACAAATGATGTAGTGGGGGAAGGGCAGGAACCACTCCCGGCGCTTAAGCGGGAGCTTGTCGGCATCGTTGCACACCGCGGTTCTCTTCACGGCGGCCACTACATTGCATACGTGCGAGATGACAGCCGCCCGAATAGCTGGTTTCGCTGCGATGACGAGGATGTGGAAAGGGTAGACAAGGAATATGTTCTGCGTTGCCAATCAGAGGTATACATGTTGTTCTACGAGTAGCAAGGGGTGAAGAAGGCAAAAAGGGGGTTAGAACAGGCAACACGCGCCCTCAGACCTCATGGTGTTACAACTGTGTGCCTCCGGTAACACGCGGCCGGTCCGGGCGCTGGTTGGTACCGTCAGCCCTGCGCCAACAACCACGACCGCGTGAGGGAGACATGGCTGGCTTTCGGCTTCCCCCCGACGGTACGGGGCGATTGACACTGGCGTACCACGTTTAGGCAGCCGGCGTTGTCAGGGGAGCAGAAGAAGGGGGTAAAGATAAAAAAAAAAAAACCATTGAGAGGACAAGGGAGGGGGAAGCGGCAGGAAGAATATGCGGGACACGGGCGGACTTCCAAGGGGAGAAAAGAGGAAAGAAAACAACAACAACAACAAGCAAAAAAGAAACAAAAAAGAAAGAAAGAAAGAAGAAAAATAACTTGAATTGCGTGGTGTATTTGTATGGAGTGGGCGAGAGTAGAAGGAGGGAGAGGGGAAATAAATCCACCGATGGGCAACCCCACTCCTCTGAAGAACGAAAACAAAAAACAAAAAACACACACAAAAAAAAAAAAAGAAAAAAAAAAAAAAAGGAAAGAGAGAAAGAAAGACACAAAAACGGGAAAAGAAACAAATTATGGCGGGAGGAAAAAGAAGGCGGGGGGGGGACACACGTGTTGACGCCCCCTCACCTTCCCCCCAATCCCCAAAAAAGAAGAAGAAGAAAAAAAAAAAAACAGCGGCAATGGGGTAGCAGTGGTATAATAGATAATACGGTGTTAATAATAAGACTCCATCTCGTCTCCTTTTTTTTTTTTTTTTTGAATTGGTGAGGCTTGAAATTGTCACCTGGAAGTGCCTTGGCTGCTCCTCTTATTTTTACTGTTGCTTCGTCTTCCTTCATCTCCTTGTGCTTTTATTTTGCAATTTGGCGGTTGTGCGGATCGTTTTTCGTGGGTGGCTGTGAGTTTAGGCACTGCTGGCTGAGCGCCCTGTATTCTCGGTTGCTTGCATGTATATTTCTTTGCTTCTCCTGATTGAAGACCAATTTTTTTTTTTTTTTCTCGCTTTTTTTTTTTTTTTTTTTTCGCGGCTCGGTTTCTCGTCGTTGTCGTGTCATTATTCTCAGTGCTTCATCGGAGTTAACTCCCTCTTCGTGGCCCGGCCATTGCGATCTCCCCCCGACCGTCATCCTTCCATTTTCATTTACTTTTTTTTTTTTTTTTTTTGTGTTTCCCGCCCCTCACATCTGCCTGTCCCCTTTTTTTTCCTTTTTTTTTTTTGTGTACTTATTTTATTCCACCCTTCTATCTTTTTTTTTTTGTTCTTTTTTTGTTCCCCTCTTTCTGTCTGTGTGAGTTTGCGTGTTTGTTCCTCCCGAACCGTTGCACCGCCTGCCACGTGTTTCTTTCCCTCCTTCTCTCTCTTGGCTTAATACTTCTTGTCGGTTTTTTATTTTTTTTATTTTTTTTTAATTTGTGTCTCTGTGCCCCGGGCTTATGTTTTTTTTTTTTTTTTTTCTTTTTTTTTTCTTTTTCTTTTGTCCCCGCAGCAAGTCAAAAACACACACACACACACAGACAGGAAACGGTTGCGAGGGCGCGACGATGAGCGCGACGACGAAGCAGATGGTCAAGCCGACCAGCATTGTGCACCGGTACATGACGGAGGGACAACGCGTCTGCGTGTGGCTTGTGCACGATACAAAAATGAAGATTGAGGGCGTTATTTTGGGCTACGATGAGTTTATGAACGTGGTGCTTGGTGATGCCTCGGAGGTGCACCATAAGACAAAGGAGGTGGTGCACGTGGGGAAAATTCTTCTTCGCAGCGATAACATTGGCGTTATTCATCCCATAGGCGTATAGATGAAGCGAGGCGGTATCAGCCTTCCGTGATTCAACACCATCTTTGATACGTGCATATATATATGTATATGTATGCACATATTATAGCGTAATCTCGGCGCAACGGAATGGTTGAGAAAAGGGGGGAATAAAAGTTGCGCGGTTTGATAAGAGCGGAGATGAAAAGGGAAGAGAAGAAAAAACGCCTCTGTGTTGAATCCACCGTTTTCTAATGTGCGTGTCTCTGTTGGTGGACTGTGTCTACAGGTATGGGCAGGCACACATGCCGGATGCGTTTTTGCTTCTTTTTTTTTTTCTCTCTTTACCCATCTCTTTTTTTTTTTTTTTTTTTGGGTACATGCAGCTTTACGGCGGCGTGCTGTGGAGCGAGGCGTACGACCGCACCTCCCGTGAACTTGACGGAGAGTAGAACATAAATCCCACGGCCATTATTTTTGGCCGTTTTCTCTAGAGAGGATAAAAACAGTTTATTTAGATCATTCACGCGAGCTCCGTCTCATCGGAAACAAAAAGAAAAAAGACAACGAGAGGGGGAAAAGGGAGAAGAAGAGAACATGGGCTGCGGGGTGTCTCGCCAGCCTTTTAGCACGGAGCTGAGGCCGTTGCGTGCCACGAGGGAATGTGCACCCGGTGGCTTTGATTGTGCTGCCGGTTGTGGTGGCCACCCGAAACAAATTACGGGCGAATCCCACGAGAATGGCATTTCTTCGGAGCGTCCCTCACCCGATGGAGGTTCTGCCACCAAAAGTGACTCACCGCCGCCTCGTTTTTCGGCTGCCGAAACCGTCGTTGGTGGCAACAGCCATAGGGATGACAGCAGACATGAAGTCAAATTTTCTGTTGAATGGAACCGTTCCGTTTCACCCGTGCCTGGTCTCTCCGAGTACGCAACGCTCCCATTGCGTCATGTACACAAGAAGCTGAAGCACAATCATCGTGTGTTTAGAATATGCCTTACAGGTGGTCCTTGTGGGGGGAAGTCGACGCTTCTCACGCAGCTGCAGGCAAAGATGCCACAGCGCACAGGGTACAAAGTCTTTTGTGTCCCAGAGGCGGCGACGCTGCTTGTAACGGGCGGCATGGTTTGGAACAGTGACCTCATTGAGGAGCAGCAGTTGGCACTTATCCGCGTGCAAATAGGTCTGGAGGATCAGTTCTACAATGTGGCGATGGCTTCGGGAGCGCCAAGCATTGTCATTTCCGACCGTGGAACGATGGATGGAAGGGCGTTTTGCTCCGAGGAGATTTTTGAACGGATATTGCGACGTTTAAATGTAACACTAGAGACGCTACGAGATCGCTACGATGCGGTCATCCACCTTGTGACCGCTGCCAGTGGCGCCAAAGAGTACTACAATCTGGACAACCCAAGCCGCTATGAAAATGTTGAGGAGGCCGTTGAGTCTGATAAGAAGCTGCGGCAGGTGTACGTTGGCCACCCAATGCTGCGGATTATTGACAATTCCACGACGTTTGAAGAAAAGATGGAACGCGGGCTGTCGTTGGTTGGGCAGGTCATTGGGCAAAGGTTTTCAATGCAGAACACATCTTATTATTTGGTGCGTCATTGCCCGAAGGAATTGCCGGTACAGAGCGTCACATCCACACTCACCATCACGTTGTTGTGCAACAGCCAAATCAACGATGTTCGGCTTCTCATTCGACGTGAGCATCCCTCCGGTGAATGCATGTACTTTTTCAACTCCATCCGGTGCGCGGGCAAAGGCAATTCGTTTGGGCAGAAAGATGGATCAGAGGGCAGCGTCACGCGAGACGCATCCCCCGTGTGCCATGCGGAAATACAGGCTGTGCAAAGCGCCTTTATGGGGACCATGGAATCTGGCCAGCGTGTCAAGACCGAGCAACGTATCAGCAGTCGAGAGTATGCCACTCTGATTTGTAACCGCGACGCACAAAGGCATGATGTCGTTTTGAATGCTGTTCAGTTTATCCACGACGATGCGAGGTACGAGGTGACCACCATCGTGGAGCCGCCATGGGCAGCGGGAAAACAGGCATTGACGCTCGAGTGTGACGACCAAGAAAATGCGACATTCCCGTCGTTTGTCAAAGTGGACCGCGAGGTGCCGATTGACAGTCTCTCGACCGCTTTCCTGATATCCCATACGGAGATGGGGCCGCTTTACACATCACTTGTCTACGCTCCCGTTTTTACGCGCGGCATCTTGACGAGAGGAACACGTGCGGATACGGACGGCAGCTGTGCCACAAGCGACAGCGGCCACCGGACCCCGCGAGCCTCGAGGCGGAATGTTGAGGATGACGCGGATGAGAGGAAAGAGTTGATGAGGAGGAAGAAAAAGAAACGCGTTAAGCGCACTGCCGTGACGGATGAGGACGAGTCGTTGCCTCTGCAGAAAGCAGAGAAGAAGGCGGATTTTACCGCCACTGTGGTAGAGGCAGTGGACGCAAAAGAAATCCCCCCAAATCCTCCCAGTCCGTCCAACTTGGGGCCAACCGACGACACACCGAACTTACCACCAGTACCATCGGCATCAACAACTCCTCCTTTGCCCAGCGGTCCTCCCACCGCAAACCCTCGCGGGGCGATGACGGGGATGCACTAACGGCGCTGTTTGTTACCGCCATCACCAATGCTTACTCACTTTTAGATGTAACCGCTTAGATTCACCCCTTTTATTCATCACCTTTTTTTTATTTCTTATTATTATTATTATTTTTTTCTTTCTTGTTGGGGTGGAACGCATTTTGTACTGTCGTTTTACTTTTTATTGGGCGTGTTGGTATATTTTTAAAAATCTTTTTCTTTATATTGTTAATACCAATAACTGTCGTAGTTGGACTTTCCTTTTTTTTTTTTTTTTGGAGTTGTTTGCAGTACGCCATGACCACACCGTTGCTCCATTGACGGAGCGCATTTGTTTGTCTATTTATTGACGCTGGTGCGTGTGTGGCTATTTGGGCATTCATGAGACAAGACTGCAATACACACATGCTTCGTACGGTGTGCCTGTTTGTTGTCTTGATTACTTTTACGTTTGTAATGTTCTTAGGCGTGTTTAGAGATGTTATTGTTATTATTATTTTTGGATGAAGAGGCAGACACACACACACACACACACACAGCGATAAAAAGAGAAGGAGTACGTGCTGCTGCAGTGGAGGGGGGCGTTGTTCTGTTGTTCCATCATTCTGACATTGCCGAGAAGAAGACATCAAACGGAAGAAAAAAAAAAAAAAACAGAAACAAAAAAAAAAAAACGAAGAGGAGGCTGTCGCTGGCTGCACTGACGTTACTCCTTCCCTTTTATTATTTTTCTCCCCTCTTACTCTCTTGGTTTGTATTCAATGCGGGTATATATATATATATCTATATATCTGTCTGTCTTTGCGTGTGTGTGTGTGTGTGTGCTACTTACTTGAAGCCAATTGTTATATTTTTGTTTTTGTTTTCCTGCGGCGCCAGTAGGACGGGGGGAACGCAATTCTGCGTGGCGCTCTCATGTACTCTGCGCATGTGTCTTTTCTTTTCCGTGTCGCTTGTGGGTTGTGGGGCGCAAAGAGGGGGTGGCCGAGAGGAAAACACAAGTAATAAAAAAAAAAAAAAGAAAAAGAAAAAAAAAGCCGTCAGTACACGTGACACACGGAAGGGGAGTTGAAAAGGAAAGGCGAACAATAAAATAAAACACACGCAGACACAGAGACAAACAGCAGCAAAAGAGGGGGAGACAGAGTACATAGGGCGGTCAACGCGTTGGAAGCAAAGAAAACAACAAACAAACAAACAAAAAGAAACAAACAAAAAAGAAACCAGAAGGTTCAAAAGGCGAGGCGACACTTAAAATTTGGTTGGGACTTCAAAGCAGTACGATTGGGATGGAAAACGGTGCGGAGGGGTTGGTGCCGATTGAATGCCTTATTTGTGCTGCGACATGTGAGGCATTAGCCGTCTTCAAATGTGGACACTACGTGTGCTATGTCTGCGGGCTGCATATTCACTCCATTGATCACGGTGTGTGCCCAGTTTGCCGAGAAAAGGGCGAGACGGTCACTGTGACGTGCACTCCGCCAGGTGAGAACGATGATGAGGATAAATTCAGCGCCGAATTGATTCGGACGATGGAGGACGTGTCCAGGTTTGACAGTCACTTGCAGTGTTTTGTGCATGGCAAGGCCTTGGCGAATGAACTGAGAAAAATGTACGAGTATGTCTGTCCTGTGCCCAAATGCTGGTGTAGGGGTGTGCAGGAACCTTTCTGTGAGATGTATCCCCTGCACGAGCATTTAAAGACGGATCACGGGTTGGGGTATTGCACCATCTGTCTTCAGCATCGATCTGTGTTCCTGTGCGAGCATCAGGTGTACTCGAAGGAGAACTTACGGCTGCATATGGACGGGGTGTGCCCACACGACTCTCCCTCTTTCTTGGGGCACCCATTTTGCAGATTTTGTCCAAAGACACGCTTCTACGACGAGGACCATCTTCTTGAGCACATGAAGCAGCACCACTTTACATGTGATATATGCAACCGTGGCGAGTTTCTCTTTAGGTACTATGAAAATCGTAAAAAACTTCTTCAACATTTTGAGCGGGAGCACGAGTTGTGTGATCACCCCGCGTGTGCATCGCTGGATCCAATGATGAGAGTTTTTGTCTCCGACTTGGAGTTGGCGCTTCACAAGCAGCGCGTGCATGGTGTGCGCTCGCGACTGGCGCTCTTCACGACGGATGCCTCTTCCACAAACCCGTCTAGCAGTCTTCCCACCAGCACCACGCCCTGCAACGGGGTTCAACGCAAATGTCATCAGCATCACATTTGATTACGTGCCACAAGCAGGAG